CTCCCTCTGGCAGGCAGCTTCCTCTCCCAGCCCCCACCTTCCTGGCTTCCCCATTGCTTTCTGACCCCCACCTTCCTCAAGGCTGCTCTGGCCACAGCTAAGAGGACAAAACCTTGGGTTCTGGAATCCAGGTTAGTTATTCAACGTTTTATTTATTTATTTTTTCTCGGATGGGGTCTCACCCTAATACCCAGGGACGAGGCTGGGCTGCTCAGTGGTCACCTCTGCTGCCCTGGGAGCCCTCCAGGCTGGCCTCCGATTCCTGTATTCAAGTGATCCTCCCATCTCAACCCCCCAAGTACCTGGGACCCCGGGCTCTAGCCTCTGTACCCAGATGGTTGTTCATCTTTCCTGAGCCTCAGATTCCCATCCATAAAATGGGCATTATTGTTCTGTCTCACGGGTTGTCGTAAGGATGAAATGAGTAATGGCTTCTCCTCACCACAGTGTCAGGGACACAGGGGCTCAGTAAATACCGGCCTTTGTTACGGTAAAGGTAGAGCTCTTTAGGAACCAAGTAAGGTCCAAGGCCACTGAGCAGTGAAGAGAAGAAACTGGGAGCCTCAGACCTCTTCCCAACTCAGCCTCTTCCCTTCTGGTTACCTGCCTCCCTCCTCAGCCTGCAGTATTGATTAATTGATTTAATTAAAAATGGCAATTGATTTTACCACCTGGTGTGGTTCTGAACTTATTTATTGAAATGAATGTGTAGATCTTACCTTTCCAACAAGCCTCTGAACTTCTTGGAGCAGATCCCAGGTGATCCTAGCTCTAGCCCTTTTCCTCTCCGGTTTGTCTACAATTGTCTACTTTTCCCAACACAGTGCTCATAGTGCTTTCATTAAGTCACTCTCGTGATCAGAAACATTCAACGGCTCCCATCTACCTCCCAGACAAAGTCAAAACTCCTTAACTGGACACTTGAGGCTTCTTACAAACTGTCCCACTGCCACATCTCCAAATATCCACATTCTCCCCTCCCCTTGAGCCATCTCTGTCCAGTCCAACAGCTGTACTTACAAGGGTAAGAAATTCCTCAGGTGACCAATCCTGCTTTCCACAGAGTGCATCGCCTCCTCAACTCAGCCCACATCTGACCTGCCTCTCCCTGAGCTCCCGGGCTGGCCACGGCTACCACTTTCTCTTACAGCCATTAGTGCCACTCCAATGACCTTCCTTGCCACTGTCACAGTCAGGCAGAAGCTGGATCTCACACACCCTCTGATCCATCAATCTGGGCCAGGGCCCTGCAACATGCAGCGGGACAATGACATTGGTACTTCCTCTCCCAACAGGGGCTGGGCGTCATGAGAGACACATGCTGGGACCTGGGCAGAAGGTGCACGACTTAACGAATCCTCAGAGAGTGGGACAGTGTTTTTTCAGGTGTTTGTCCCCTTGGTATGTCCCCCTTCATGATCAGGGAGAGCTAATAATCTGCCAATTTGCTGTCTGGCTAGGGGTCAAGTCTCAATGTGAGAGCTGGGTCAGAGGCAGGGCAAGCATCTGCTTTTGGTGGGGGAGGTTCAGACAGTGACCAGGGCACAGTCCATGTGGAGCCCCGGAGGGCCTCTCTTGAGGCTGAGCGTGACCTTGGGAGAGCACTTCAGGACCTCCTACTCTGCAGAAGTTGTGGGCCATCCTCCCGCTTGCTTCTTCGCAGATAACACGGGTAAGGCAAATGAGGTGATGGGTCTGCAAATACACTGGGTTTTTCTGGAGAAGTACTATAATGAGTGACAACGTGAAAAGCCTGTCTGGACTTCAGTGAGCATCTCAGACTGTGGGACTTCTACAACTGCAATAAAAATAATGATGTTTGTATTGCCTGTGTTCTTTCACCTATCATATTGTATTTAACAGCCACAACTAAGCAGGTGTTTTATCCATTTTGCTGCTGAGAAAATAACAGGGAACATTCATTGAGCACTTTCTATATGGGCTCAAATTCTTGCAGTTCCCTCCTGAGGTTGGCACTATTTTTATCCCTGTCTGATGGGCTAGGGATCGATGCCCAAGGCTGCCCAATAAGGTGGGTGGTGGGACCAGGAAGGAGCTAGATTTTTCTGGCTTCTGCAGAGTGCCTGGGGACACTGCTGGGTGGGGGGGCTCTTGGCCTGGGACCAGAAGAATCTCCTGTCTAACACGGGGCTGTGTTGTGGTTTTGGGGAACAACAGTCCCCCAGAAGCAGGGCTCTGGGCCAGGAGAGTCCGGGGATGCCAACTCTGCTCCTGATTCCCAGCTTCACTCTCCAGACCCCGTGTTTCCTCCTGACCCTCCCAGACTGGCCTGCGCTGCCAGGGAGAAGCCTCACAACCAGCCTTGGGGAGTTTCTCAGCTACAGAGGCATCTGGGCTTCCAGAGCCTGAAATAGGCTCCTCGGAGTGTGAGGGGGAAGGTGTCAGCGTTACAACCAGGAGGGAGGGTGGGTGTTCCCTCTGGTCCCTTCCCTTGCAGGGAGTGGAAGTGTGTCTGCCTCAGGCCCCAAGTCAGCTCTTCCTCCATCACCAACCCTCCAGCCACCTTCTCAAGGGGGGTGTGGAGGTGCCTTGCCTCTGCCTTGCCCCCAAGGCAGATGGGCAATGGGCAGCACGGGAGGAGGTAAGAGTGCTGGCCAGAGGGTCAGCGTCCAGGGCTCTCACTGAAGCCACTCCTGTGGATTTACGTGTTGTGTGTGTGAAGATGGTCACGGGCAGGATCTGAGCAGGGGCTCCGGGAACCCTGAGAAGCGAATGGGACTTGTCCTTGTTCTCTTTCTGCTCCTCCCCACTGGCCAGACCCGGGGTAACAGCAACAGGAGGAAGACAAGGAGAGGAAGGCTGATGGGACTTGGAGCTGGCAGAAAATGGCTGGCTGTCCAGGCCCAGCTCCAGTCAACAGCACAGGGTGGGCTCAGAGTGTGGCCCTGGCATCAGGAAGCCAAACCTCACGGCCACCTCAGGCCTTCTCCAATCAGTCGGGGCATCTGTCTGGGCTCTGAACATATTGATAAATACCTCCCCCAGCTGGGCCAGTCCCCTGAGTGTGAGGAATGGGCACCCAGAGGGGGTACAGAGAGAAATAATTACCATGCTAAGGGCTCACATGACCCAGAACATGAGCCCTCTGGGCTCAGTTCCTTTCTCCGCCTGCTCCCCATTCCTGGGGAGTTCCCTCACTGGTCAATGGCAGAGCCTGGAACAGAAAACCTCCATAGTCCTGTGGGCCCTGCCTAGTTTCCTCTGGGTGACCCATGTGAACATCCAGATGCATCAGTGGCCCGGAGGGCTGTGTGTGCCAACACATGGCTGAGAGCAGCCCTCCCGAGAGATACAGTCTGGCGCATCTGCGACTCGGCTCCCCACTGTGTGCTGTGTGGGTGCTGGCACATGCCAATCTGTGGCTCCTCTCAGAGTGTCTGAGGCTTCAGGATCCCAAACCTCCTCTTTACTTCTCACTACCACAGCTGGGCTCCTGGGCTTGGGAGCTGAGGAATAGCCCCTTCCTCAGGAATCTCCAACTTCCCCAAAGTGTTTCTTGCTCTTTTCCTCCAAAATCTGTTTCCAAGTTGGAATCAGGATATACAATATGGAGCTTGGTAGGTCCCCCCGCTTGAGGGAGGCAGAAGGGAGAGAGAGGAGGGAGAAGAGGAGCCCGAGACAGGGCCAGGACTGGGAGAGACATGCATTAGCGCTCTCCTTCCAGAGTGAGGTTTGGCCCCATCTTCATGTAACAAGGCTGTGTGCTCTGTCCTAGATTTGACAGCTTTTCTTCTGCCAAGAACAGGGGGCTGAGAAGAGTGGTCTGGGCCTCTCTGCCTGCACCCCAGGGACCAGCATGTGCGGATAGAGTCTAGATCTGTAGCTATGGTCAGTGTTCAGCTTGTGGAGCTTGGGGACATCAACTCTAAAGGAATGGTGTGTGTGCACCCCTGTATGGGTGTGAGAATGTAGTGCCACTCTGGGAGTATAGGGGTCCCTCAGGGACATGGTGCCTGAATGAATGAACCCTGAGCCCACAGACACTCCATGTCCTCCCTAGCTGTGGGATTCCAGGGCGGGGCCCTGTCTCCTGCAGCTTCTTTTTTTAAGTACCAAACTCAGCAGGGGCTGCACTCTAGGGGACTGGTGACTTCCCACTCACCTGAGCCTCACTTTAGCTCTCTGCTGGTCCTTCCCCTTGGGGCTGGAAGCAAGCAGCTGAGAAAACTGTCTGGACTCCTTCTGACCTCTACTCTCCAGCTCTGGGTTCGGTTCCTCAGAGGGGCTGAGCTGCAGAGAGAGGTCTTCTCCTCTCTGAAACCCTCTTGGCTAAGCCTCAGTTTCCCTGCTGTCCCTTTGAGAGGCTGGCATTTGTGTGTGCATATAGTTGTCTGGGTGGCTGGGGTCCCTGGGGAGGAAAACCGGTGGAGCGAGGAGTGCTGAGGCCAGGGAGAGGAAGGGGACTGAAGTGCCCTCCTGCGTCTGGTTCCTAATTGCAGGAAGAGCTCAGCCCGGTTTCGATCATCCCAGGGCGCTGCACGCTGCCCGCCCCACACTGGCCCCCATCGCAGCTGGGGAGGTGGCGCCCGAGCTTGGACCCGGTCGAGCCTGCCTCTGCCGGCGCCACTGCCGCCCTCCCTGCCCAGGGCCCGGCCGGGCCGGGGCGACACCTACCTCACCAGGATGGCCACCCCCACGTCCTCGCAGTTGGCATACAGCCGGGCCCACGTAGCCTGCACCGCCTTCCTTTCCGCCTCGGACAGCTCCTCGCTGCGCTCCCTGCGCTCAATCTCCATCTCGCCAGGCACTTTCTCCATGAGCAGCTCCTAGCCCAGCCCGGTTTTGCTCGGCGGCTGCAGGGCGCGGGGCGCGGGGCGCGGGGAGCCGGGGCCGGCTGCGTGCGCGGCGGGCGGGCGGGCGAGCGAGGGGTAGAGCGCCGGAGGGAGGGAGCGTGTGTGCCTGTGTGCGCTGTGTGTGTGTGTGTGTGTGTGCGCGCGTGTGTGTGCAGGGTATATGTGCGGGGGGCGGGGGACCGCGAGCGGGGGGCGGGGATGTGGTCTGCTGGAAAAATGTTTAAAAAAACAAATCTTCTCCGAAGCCCCAGTCCTGTGTCGGTGAGCCAATTCTGGCAAGGTGAAGGTTGGGCGGGGTGCGGGCGACGCGGCTAGCGCCGTTCGCCCACTCACCCGCAAGGCCACGGCGGTCCCCGCCGGTCCCCGCCGGGCGGGGCAAGAAGTAGGTGTGGCCGACGTGCCGAGGGGTCTCGGGAGGATCTGGCGGTCACGCGGCGCTGGGCTGCGCGGGCCGCACAGGAGTGCGCCCCGGCGGGTGCCGGACCGAGTACACTGTGCTCCGCTCCCACTGCGCGCGATGACGGGACGAGTGCGTACCGACACCTTTCACGTGGCGAGGAACTGTCTCAAAGTCAAACACTCCCAGGGATTTGCGGCGTGTCTGCCAGTCGCCGGTCCGAGGGGGCGAACGCGAGCCCTATCGCGGGCAGACTCGCTCCCGCTGGCGCTGTTGGCTCCCGAGTCGCCACTCGCAGAGCCTGGGACTCCCAGGCTCTGGCAGGTTTAGAACAGGGTCGAAGCCCCACCGATCTGCCGCCTCCGGGAACTTGAGCACACCTCCAGTCTTGGGTCCCAAAGGCCTGCGCCCCTCTTTCTTCTGGTTGAAACCCCATCTCCCTTGGTGCACGCGCGCACGTGGCTGAAAGAAGTAGGTGGTTGGCTTATTAATGATACTGGTAGGAAAGAACCAGGCGCTGCCTTGAGTTCTAGCCCTGGCCGTGTCGGAGTGAAGTCTGAGGAAGAAGCAGCCAGGTATGGCAGAAGGGACATAGGGGTCAAAAAGTCTTGAGAGGGCTGGGGCTAACTGGGTTCGATCTTTAGCACAGCATAAAAACTAAACAAATAAAGGCATGCTGTCCATCTACGACTATCAAAAAAAAAAAAAAGAAAAAAAAGTCTTGAGAAAGGTCCAGGCCACTGAAGGTATCTCAGGATCACCAAGGTCCCAGTTCTGGAGGTTGGGGAGACAAACCCTTCACCCTGTTGGACTGCTCAGGGAGGTGTGAGATTGGGCCAGAGGTGGGCACTGTGCTCCTGAGACCCAAAGCCCTGTCCAGCAGTTGCTCAGTATTGGGGATAGCATGCCTCACCTCTGACTCCCAGTGGAAGCCTGAGGCCACACAGGGCTTGCAATTGTCTACAAATGTCACACTACATGTGGAATATCTCCAGTTTTCCTTAAGACTCCCTGGTCATCCTTACTCTGTTCAGATATTGGTGTTTCATTGCCCAAGCATGACCGGGGGTAGCTCTCCTCTTCAACTTTTGATTCCTGACTTAATTTTTAAAAATCCAATTTCAAAGTCCAGAACTAAGGGAAGCAGTAACCTAGGTAGGCAGAGGGCCAGCCTGACTCCTCCTTGGGATCCAGGGTTCAGGTGTTTGATGGGACTCAGCAGGAGTAGGCTGACACTACCCCCACCTCAGTTAAGGGAAGAAAAATCTCATGCTTTCCGCCATCTTGGATGAGGTGAAGTGGGGTGGGTGGTAAGGTCCTCACCTTACTCTCATACTATGTCCCAGCCCTGCCATGACTTGCTCCATGAAGGACACACACCAAACTCCCTTGATTGTACCCACAGCTGGTGTGGAGACTTTCCCAAGCAGCTCCCCAAGGAGGACAGACGTTAAGAGGAGTCTTATTGATTTTCATTTCATCCTTCACAAATTCTATATATGTCTTAAGGTGTAGGAATGTATTCGTGCAGTAGTATGTAATTTATAAGTTTAAATTTTATATCTAAATTATATAAGGTAGTTATATAAGATAGAATTTATAATCTGTATCTTAAATTCTGCCTTTTTCTGAGGAGGGTGTATAATCAGGAAAGTTCAGAGAAGGTTATCTGGAGGGTGGGGCCGAGCCAGCCCTTTCCTCTCTGCTTTGCCTGGTCTTTCTAGCGTCATTTAAATATTCTTCTCTTCTCCTGGTGCCTCCTCTGTGCTCCACTTCATCTCCTGGAAGATGCTGCTACTTTCTTGTCAGCAGTCTGGGCAGAGTCTTCTGAGGTCCTTCCTGAGCACCTGCGACTTCAGATCCTCCGGCTCCTCTCTAAAGCTTTCCTGGTACCCGCAACTCCCAGAGTGCTCCGTAGCCATATTTCATCGTGCCTAAGTCACTGTGTTGCAGCCAGCTGCTTAACTGGACAGCACATCTGTCTAGACCATCAGCCCCTGAGGGTGAGGCCCAGGTATATGGAATCTACATTCCAGATAGGTGTTCAGTGCCACTGTACACATTTCCAAGAAGGTGGACTTGCCCTACCACTGAAGGGGAGATCTTGGGTCCAGTGAGGTTAATCAGTCTTCACAAGGTCAGGGCTGCTGACTCCACTAATCAGCTTGATCCTTCTTATCCATCCCCAGCAGGAGCCTCAGGACAGAGGGCAGCAGTTTGTGAGAACTGGCCAGGGCCACTGTGGTCCCTTGCCTGTGGCCTTCTTCTGCAGCCTCCGTCTGGGGGGATGGGGCAGCTGAACCATGTGCACCACTCTCTTCCTGCTCAGCACCTTGGCTATGCTCTGGCGCCGCCGATTTGCCAACCGGGTCCAACCGTGAGAAACTGATTGGGCTGTGGGTTGGGGTGTGCCTTGGGACGAGGGGGAGGGGTGGTGGTGGTGGTGGTGGTTGCTGGCCTGGGCCACAGCCAAGCTGAAGGTGGGCAGGGGCTGAAAGTGACCTCCAGCAGGTTGGGCAGGGGATCTGAGAGTCACTCAGAGCAGGGAGCTGGGCACAGCTCACAGCTCATCCTGTCTGCTCTTCCCTCCCACAGAGACTCCAGCAGAGTGGATGGGACTGTTATGGGAAGCAGCAGGGACACAGACCTCCAGTCCTCGGGCAGGTGAAGCTGAAGGGAGTCAAGGGTAGAGGAGGGAGGGTGCTGCCCAAAGAAGCTTTTGCTGTGTGTGCCTGCGGCTGTGAGTGAGTGTGTGTGGGTGCTCACACTTTAGTAATTCTGGCCTTCACCTTGGTCACCTGTTCCCTATTTCACCAGGTAGCAGTGGGAGCCCCCAGCCCCCTCTTCTGGACCAAACTGCTGCTTTGCTTCTCCCAGTGTTAGTGCTAACCGGGGCAGTGCCCAGGAGCACCTTCAAGGAAGGCGCAAGGGAAGGGGAGAGGGAGGAGGCCAAAGCCGTTCTGTATAGCTTTGCAGCCTAGCCTTGCCCTTCCCTCCCCCTCTGTCTCCCTCTGCCTCCGCCCACCCGCCTCAGTAGCTCCACAGCCTGAACCTCCAGCAGGATTCGCTGTCCAGTCCCCAATAGAAGGCGCAGAAGGAGCATGACATCATCAGCATTGAGTGCCATTGGTTGGGCAGCCCCTGCGGGCAGGACGCTGTCTCCAGTGGCCAGAAAGTTAACTCTTCCCTGGACTGAATCCTTGTGGCCTTTAGGGGGCAAGGTTGTGGGCACTTCTAGACTTTTCCTTCCCTGGATGACCAGTGTCTTTTGATGACAGGGGCTCCTGTGATAAAGAAAACACTAAAAAAAAAAAAAAAAAAAAAAAAAAAAAGGTCAACTAGTAACTTAATGTATCTATGCATAAGAGATTCTTTATCTGCCTTTGAGCCACTCCCCATTCCCACCCCACCCCTGCCCAGCATGGGAGACCTCTCTAAAGAGTGACTCTCACTTCTAGTAAAACAAAGGGCACAAAAGATCCTATCAAGTACTTGGGTGCCAGAGCCACTGGTAGGAGGGTATCTGCCAGTGATCCTCCATGTATATCAGGTGGCCTGCCAGTGGTCCTCAATGTCTCTGTCTGGACAGGGAACCTGTTATCTCCTGTCATCTCAGTCATAGGATTCTCCCATATTTGGAGTCAGAAAGCCCATGGGAGGCCCTGACACATATGAGAAATAGCCATTTCTGTAACACCCTTCCTGGCTCCACAGCTAGCTGAGATCATAATGGTGCCTGGTCGATACTGCTAGTTAACTGGGCTGATACACATTGAGTGCATCACCAGGTCTCACATGAAAGAGGCACTCAGATGCTGACTAAGCCTCTTGCTGAGTTTAGAGTATGGAGTTTTGGGCAGCAGGATTTAAAGTCCTGGCTCCCTTCTTACTACCTAAGAGACTTTGGACAAGTTATATAATCACTTTATTTCTTGTAAACTAGGGTTAATAACACTGGTTGTGAAGTTTTTGTTTCACATAGTCCCTCACTTAGAAGTCTCAGTAATCCCAACACTGGTCAGAGGGTTGGCAGGACATGTTTTAAAAATCTCTTGTTAATGGTTGAGGAAACCGAGCAAAATCTGAAGAACTTGCTCAAGATTGTCTATCTAATTTGTAACTGATTGGGGACCATCCGGCCCCTGACTTCCAGGCAGTCTGTCTCTTCCACATGAAATGGGCCTGGACCTCCTGGCAGGCTAGGAAAGGCCAAATCTGAGGACCATCTGGCCTGGCTAGCCTGGTGTATGTGTGACTCAGGCAGAAGGAAGCAGTTGCCTATTAACTCGTTGGGACCTAGTTACCTGGGAAGGTCAGACTGACATAGAGGAACCACTTGCTGATGATGGCTGTCGCAAAGGGCTGGCTGGGAGTGGCACAGGGGTGAAGTCTATCTTCTAATTCCACAATCATAAATCCCAAGTTGTTTTTCAGATGCTACTGTCCTTTAATGCTGGGCATGGGAGTAGGAGGAAAAGGGGAACCAGAAACATAGGAAGTTCATCCCTTTCGATACTCTGACTCTAGTGCTTTCCTCTGTTCAGGGAGAAGGAGCATCTGAAATAATCCCTCCCCTCATCAGTTGGGGCTCTGCTCCCGGAACTGGGATCACCTGGCACAGGCAGGTAGGGCAGAGTCTGGAGGTCTGGAGGGCAGAGGGCAGGGCTGGGGACAAGGAAGAAGAAATATGCAAGGGTGGGCCGAGTGGGAGCACAGCAGGCCGTTTCCAGCTCTGAGGTCCCAGAAGGAGGCTGAGCAGGAGGGTCGCTCCTTCATTCAAATCCCGTCTTGAACCTGTTCCCTTCCAGACATGGGGCAAAAGTTGAAGAGAACTGGCCATGGTTCTGACTCATTTTCTAGGCCTGGGGATGAGGTGGGGGGTCATGCTTTCTAAGGGAAAGACCATGCTCTGGGATGTCCACACTGAAATATAAGTCCTGTCTCTGAGTACGGCAGAAAGTGCAGATTGGCTTTGGCTTTTGTTGCAGCTCAAGTCCTGGTTCGGCCCCTAGCCATGAAGGATGCTTCGGGGTCAGAAGCAGCAGCAAGGGAGAGATGGCAGAAGCAGTGATGGAGAAGGTAAGTTCTTGCCTTGAGCCCCTGATGGGGCCTGGCTGTGGGCCTCCTGAGCAAGGCCTGATGAGGCTGGCAGAAAGAATGGAGATGCTCCCTGCTCTTGGCTTCCCTTCCTGCTGAGTTCCTGAGCCTCCTCTGAGAACTGTGGAGCCTGAAAAGCCCCAGAGAGGGAGGCTTGCTGGGGTCTACCAGGTTAATTCTAGGGCAGTCCAACAGCCCAGGCAAGAGGCAGGGACAAGTGGAGATCACTCTAGAATCAAGGGATGGCTGATAGCTTATAGTCACACATCAAGGGCTTCCGTTCATTTGCTAATTCAATCCTCACCATAACCCATGGATACTGTTTTCTTTCTTTCCATATTTTTAAAATATTTATTTTTTAGTTATAGGTGGACACAATATCTCTATTTTATTTTTATGTGCTGCTGAGGATAGAAACCAGTGCCTCATGCATACTAGGCCAGTGCTCTACCTCTGGGCCACAACCCCAGCCCCTCTTTCCATATTTTATAAATGAGGAAACACACAGGTTAAATAATTTGCCTAACATTGCCTAGATGTTAAAACAGGGGACTCAAGAATCACCTCAAGGCCACAGAACCTATTAGTTCATAGCTGCTTGGCCAAAGCAGGGTTCTTTTGGTCCGGTTGTCTGCCTTTGCCAGCTCAGGAGCTATTCTGTTAACAGACTTGTGGTCTAGGGCTGTGCTGGTGTCAGTCTGTCATGGTGGCACTTACTTCCCATGGCATCTGCCTCTTCCCAGTCCCCAGAGTTCACCCTGTCATGGGCTGCTCTGCTGAAATGATCAATTAGCAAGGCTGGTTGGCTCCGTGGCATGTCTGCCTGCAGCTGGATGGGGGCAGCTACCAGCTTGTCTTCTGAATGTGTCTTCTGTGTGTGTGTGTGTGCGCGCGCGCATGTGTTCCAAATAGGCAGTAGCATGTGGGAAGGCAGAAAGCATGATGCTTGTTTTCGTCAATGTGCTGACTGCTCAGTAATGGTGCGGCCTCCTTTGCCCCCAGCTGCTCTGCCATTTCTCCCTCTTTACAGCCCTGCCTGATCCGGAGCAGAGATAAAAGCAGATTTCCGCTTCTGCTCCCAGATCCAGGCGCAGACCCTGCAGGCAGCTGCTCCCAACTGTCTCACAGCCATTAATCTTCAAAAGCACACCCCCAACCCAATGCAAGCATCTTCTCCCCAGCCAGCCCCCCACTGCTGGTCCAGAAGCCATGCCTGGCTGAGCCCTGCCCTTGGCTTTCAGGAGGAGGTGGAGGAGTAGCAGCTTCATATCTGAGGCAAAGGGAGAGGGTGAGAGATGCTGCTGAGAGGGAAGCCACTCTGAGGTGCTGGAAGAGGAGGCTGCCGCCTGTTGGGGGGGCCTGCTGATGCTGCAGGGAGCCTGGCTGGGGTGTGCGCAAGAGGTTCCATGAGAGCCTCTCAAAGTAGGGCAGGCAGGAGGCAGAGGAAGGTCACACCAGGGGAAGGAGGCTGCCAGAGCCAGAGTGCCCGTCTGACCCAGGCCTTGAGCTCTGGGCCACCTGTCTCAACTCCTGTCAGCCTGTCTTTCTTCTGGGAGGCATGAGTCTTCCTGGTGACAGGACTGCCAGGCTGAGGTCCAGAGGGCGCCGTTCCCAGGACCCGTCTGTGTTCCCTGATCTCATCTTTTGCATTCATTCTCTAATCTTTCTGCCATGTTCCTGTCACCTCGTTCTTCCCTGTGCTCTGCCATTTCCACATTGCCTGCCTCTTTCCAGTGGTCTGAAGAATTGTCAAGCCAAGGTCATGGAGTAGCACCAGGGCTGGCTCCAGGCCCAGACACATTCCCACAGGGCGGTACCCCTTTGCAGTACTGTCTATGAGCCTGTGGAGTAGATGGTGGTTCCTCCAAGGATCCATTCCAGATTAAGGGTGGGAAAGAGAGGAAGGGGCTGCTGGCAGAATGGGCGAGGTGAATGCCTGGGCTTGGAGGTTGCCTGGGCCCTGGCAGCTGGGGCGCCATGTGGGCTGGGAAGGAGGGGCTCTCTCCCCCAGGGAGCAGGCTGGCTTTGGTGGGAGCAGATTGTGTTTACACCTTCCCCGCACACCCAGCCTACGCTCGCCTCTTATTCCCGGGGCCTCTCCCGCCCCTGGCTGTCTGCACAATCTGCACACTTGCAGCTCCTGCTGCAGAAAGTTGCCTCCCTCAGCCTAGGACTCCTCTACAGGAGGCTCCCGGGACCAGGCACTGCTCCTCATACAACTGGCTCCCATCCTAGGCTGGGTGTGAAGCTTGGGTTGAGGCTGGACCTTTTAAATCCTGACCATGATGCTGTCCCCACAGAGGCCAAGTCCCATTCCCTTGAAAAGAACCTCTGCTTGGAAGTGGGAGTAGGAATGTTTAGAGAGGGAGCTCCAAGCAACTAGAGACAGCTGAGGTGAAGAGCCAGGTGCTGGCCCTGACCAAGTAATAAGAAAAGATCTGGGAGCAAGAAGTCCAGATCTGAGCCCCTGGTTCTGAACCTTGACTCTGATGCTCTTCCTCCCTCTGTGGCCTCGGGAAGGTTACAGCAGGACTCTGTGCCTCAGTTTCCTCATCTATAAGATAAAGATAGTAGTACCTGCCTCTGAGAGTTATTGTGAGGGTTAGTTAGACAATGTGTGTGAAGTGCTTAGCACACTTGTGTTCCATGTACGTAAGCTAGTGTGGTTGTGAACTGTAAACCACTGCACATGGTAGATTCAGAGCAGTCCGGGTTCCTCCCCTCCTCACCCCATGGCTCTTCCTTCCCTGTCTCTCCACATACGCAGTACTGAGCAATGGGCAAGTTCGAAACGAAATAGAGGAGGACAGAGGGTGGGACTGTTGGCGTGGGTGGAGCTCCTAGTAAGCCTGGACCAGAGAGGACCACCATGTCCTCTGTGCATCCAGAACTGTCTCAACCTCTCTGGGGCTCTGCTTCCCAAATAAATCTCAGATTCTGAGGAAGACAGGAGCTGGTTGCCCTGATGCTTCTCCTTGCTCATCTGAATGCTAATCTCTCTGCTGGTGAGAGCCTGAGTGACAGGGAAAGGCTGCTCTGAGCTGCAGGGTGGCCAAGGGCAGCAGCCAGAGCAGGAGCAGGGAGGTGCTGTTGTCTGCTACTTCTATGGCTGACATTCAGAGTTGCTGCCAGTCTCTCTGGAGATTGGAACATGACCAGAGAACTAATGAGGTGGCATGGAGGAACAAGGAAGTAGGCAGGGCAGCTGCAGCAGCAGCTGTTACCTGGTGTCACCTGGGGTACACATGTGGCTTTGGAGGACTACCCACCCATCCCAAATGGTGATGTATGTGTGAGCAGAACAGCCCTGAGAAGGGCATGCAGCAGGGGTCCTGGCCCAGGACCAGATGGGGAAGGCCTGGTGCCCAATTTGTCGCAGGCATGGTGGTATAAGAGCAGTGAACCCCATTGGTCCCACCGGGACCCAGGGCCTCTGCAGGGGCCTCACTGTTAGGAAAAAGCTTAAACCCCTGAATTAGAGGAAAGTAATGCCTCTTTGTGAGCCACAAAACAGGGAGAATGGCAAAGTGGCTTACACTGAGGCTGACATTAATATAATGGTAACAACACTAATAATACTATTAATAATGGCTAACAAGTTTCAAACACTTATTATGTACTAGGCACTGTGCCGAGTGCTTTGATTACAAGCACTGTCTCATTTATGAGGCAGAAACTGCTGCTATCCTCATTTACCCAAAAAGGAAAATGAAGTTCACAGAACTTGCTCAAGGTCACTTATAGCTAGCATTGAAGCCTGGGGAATCTGATGCCAAAGCTTGGGGCAAGGAGGACCTGAGTCTGGAGCCAGGCTGTGAGGAAATTCCTGTCTGACCTACAAGGGCACACGGGTTGGAGCTGTGGGCTTTCCTGGCCGCACATGGGCAAGCTTGCTGGTGCTGCCTTCTTCAGAGGCACAGCAGTCAAGGGCAGATCAGACTCTGGGTCCTGCAAAGCTAGGCCTTGCTTGCCAGCTGAGAGGAGTGAAGAGAGCTGGCCTCCAGGTGCCCTTCCAGGAGGAGGCAGTGGCCCCTGGCAGGGATGACAGCCAGCCAGACCATCACTCACAGTGACTGTCACTCTGTTGCCTCCTTCAAGCAGGGACAGGACCTGGGGAGAGGACAGTACTGAAGCCAGCAGGCCAGCTGGAGAGGAGGGAGCTTGAGGAGGAAGGTTGTTTTGATTTGTGTTTGTGGCAGAAGGGTGTGAGGCACAGAGATAAAGGAGGTGTCCTCACCAGAGACAAACTGAAACCAAGTCTTTGTACCTAAGGACCACAGACCCTCTATGAGATACATGTTCCCTCTGGTGGGGATTAAGACTAGAGGGTGGATACGAAAACTACAAAACAAAACAAAAGAAGATTTCCTGAGACTCTGAGCCTATGAGCCTGGCAGGAGGTGCCAGTCCTGCCCTTGTGTGAACCACACACTTAATATCAGAATATCCAGAAGGAGGAGCTATGTGAACTAATCATTAAACTAAATGTATCCATTTGACAGCTTATTTACAAAGCATGGTCAGTGTGTCATGAAATGGGAGTGTCAAAGGAATGAAAGAGGCAGTCCCTGCTCTGCCACTTGGACCAGAGACATCCCAGCCTAGGTAGCCTTGTTCTGCTAGTTCAGTCCTCCTGCTCATGTGACTTGTGTCGAACCCAGGCGGGCTGGTGCTGAGAGGCAGAGGACTGATGGCCACCTCAGGAAGGGAACCATGTAGTGAAATGAAGGGGATGGAACAGCTGATGGGGGCCCCACAGATTCTCCCCATAAAGAGCAATAATAATGGACAGCATCTGGAAGTGCAGACTTGCCTATGTGACAAATATGGAGTGCCTGTGTGCCAGGAACCTTAGATAAGAAGATGAATCAAGACCTCCTAAAAAAAAAAAAAAAAAAAAAAAAAAAAGACCTCCTGCCACAAACAGCCAGAAAACTGGGCAAAATATAAGAAACAGACATGTGACAACAGGCAGCACCAGACAGTGAACCCACACACACATTAGTCCCTGCTCAGAGAATTTCCTGACTATGGCTCTGGGACAGGAAACTCAAGTAGGGGACAGGTTAGATCAGAGGTCAAGATGTGTGATATTCATAAGGACATATGCATACATCAATGGAATCCAAAAACAGAAGCAAGAAAGGTGATCCAAAGAAGAAAGGTCTTTTCAATAGGATACAGAAAGCACTAACCATAAAATAAAAACCAATTAGTTGGACTTTATCAAAATTAAACTTCTGCTCTTGGAAAGACTGTGAGAAAATATATGCCAAACAAATATTTGCAAACAGACTTGCATCCAGAATATATAAAGAACTTTTACAATTTGATAATAATGACACAATTTTTTTAAATGGGAAAGGGGAAGGTTTTAATGGCCACTACATTAAAAAATATTGGCCAATAAACCAAGATCAATAAACATAAGATCAGCATCTAAATCATTAAGAGAATGCAAATCAAAAGCACAACTGAAGGCTGACCACAGGCCAAGATGCGGAGCAACTGTAATCTTATAATATCCTGGGGGAAACAGTGTGGCGGTTTCTTATAAAGTAACCCAAGAGGAATGAAAAAACACATCCACAAACAAATTTTACAAAAATGTTCACATCAAGTTTATTAATAGTAGCTACAGGCTGGAAACAACCCAAATACCCTCCAATATGGAAAGGATAAATTGAGGTATGTTAATAGAATGGACTAATACTCAGCAATAATAAGGAAATGAACGACGGATGTAAGCAACAACATGGGTAAATTGAGAAGCCAGACGCAGAAGAATGCCTCTCATATGATTGTATTTATGGAATTCTAAGACAGGCAGAACTAATTGATAGTGACAGAATGCAGAGCACTGGCTGACTCAGGCCAGGGCTGTAAAAGGGTGGCAAATATGCTTTAAATCTTGATTGCAGCTGTGGTTACATGGATGCATGCTTATTGGACTTTAACGTACACTTTGAACAGATGCATTTCATTATGTGTACGTTATGCCTCAATAAAGATGACTTAGTTAAACACAAAACAAGAATGAAGACCAGATCCTTGTCTTGCCTACGGTCTAGTAGAAATGCCAGACATGAAAACAAACAATCATCAATGGCAGGGTCAGTGTTAGAGGAAGTACACCCCAACAGGAACTGCCCTGTTCAAGGTGAGCTGCCTCACCTTGTGCAGGCCTGTGCCAGTGCTCTGGATGCAGTCTTAAAACAGCCTTAAGGTTCGGATGATCATCCCCCTCACATTATATGGGAGAAAAGAGACTTAGAGACAGATAAAGTAATGTGTCCAAGGCCACTCAGCTAGAATTATCGAGCTGGGACTTTCCTCCAGGTTGGCCTGATTGCAGAGTCTGTACTCAACCACCTGCGACAAGAAAGGTATCACCACGAGAAAGCAGCTTGGGGATTGCTGCAGCATCGCAGCCACAACTATGCAGAGGAGGAATTTAAGTCTGAGTTGGAATCTACCACACAGAGAAGAGGATGAGGGGAAGGGAATTTCAAGGCGAAGGGAACAAACTTCACCATCAGCAAAGGTTATGCAAAAGTTGTGAAAGGGCAGAGGTTTCCGGGAATGGAGAGACATGTTCAGAGAACAGCAGATGAGATCCGGAGAATATTACAGACTCTTCAAATTTATTTTTATTTTTTAAATCCATTTTTTTTTTAATATTTATATTTTAGTTTTTGGCGGACACAACATCTTTGTTTGTATGTGGTGCTGAGGATCGAACCCGGGCCGCACGCAGGCCAGGCGAGCGCGCTGCCGCTTGAGCCACATCCCCAGCCCTTAAATCCATTTTTATTTTTTTTTATTTATTTATTTATTTTTTAAAATTTAATGGATTTGTGTCTCTTTTTTTTTTTTTTTTTAAAGAGAGAGGTGAGAGAGAGAGAGACAGAGAGAGAATTTTTACTATTTATTTTTTTAGTTTTCGGTGGACACAACATCTTTGTTTGTATGTGGTGCTGAGGATCGAACCCGGGCCGCACGCACGCCAGGCGAGCGCGCTACCGCTTGAGCCACATCCCCAGCCCTTAAATCCATTTTTAAAGTAACACATTTATTAAAGGCAATGGCTGTGCAGAGCAGGCAGGTGAAATGAACTACTTTTCTTTCTGAACTGTTCATGAACACAAAGAAATAATCCACAAATCTAAGGTTGTCTATTCTCAATAAATGGGGCACATGTTGTTATATTTCTCTTCCTCCAGAAACTTAAAGCTACATTCAATGTTACAGGATTTTTGCTGAGCAGGATTTGTGGCAATATTTCATGGTTCTCGGGAAAAAAATCCTCTGTTTTTATGATGGGCTTTCTAAGTGGATAAATTGAAATCACTGCAGTTAGACAAAAACATTCCATTGTCATAGCATAATTTTTTTAGGAAACACAGCGTGGTGGTTGTTAGTCAGCTTTACTATAACAAAATACTTGAGATAGTTAACTTATAAGAGAAAAGCAGCTGGAAGTAGTTCAGTGGTAGGGCACTGACCTCTCATTTGCAAGGTCCTGGGTTCAAACCCCAGACACACACACACACACACACACACAATTTTATTTTGGTTCGTGGCTCTGGAAGATCTAGTCCAAGATCAGGAGCACCCTTTGCTTTGATATTCTAGGACAGGCAAAACTTATTAATGCAGCGCTTTATGGAGGTGCAAGGTGAAGCAAACTGCATAAGCCACGAAGCAAAGAGAAAGGGGAAGAGGCTTGGGTCCCACAATTGCTTTCATGAGCAGGCCCCCAGGGACTTCAGGACCTCCCACAAGGTCCCACATCCTAAGGTCCCATCACCTCCCAACAGAGCCACCTCAGGACCCAGCCTTAACATATGGGCCTTTGGGGGATATTCAGCATTCAAACCATAGTAGTGATTGAGACCATCAGCTTTCGGTCAGACTGTGTTCAGATCTCAATGCTTTCTTTTTTTTTTTTTTAATATTTATTTTTTAGTTTTCGGCGGACACAACATCTCCGTTCGTATGTGGTGCTGAGAATCCAACCTGGGCCGCACGCATGCCAAGTCGAGCATGCTACTGCTTGAGCCACATCCCCAGCCCTCTCAATGCTTTCACTTAAAAATTCCTTTAACCGTTTTGCACTTTGGCTTCCTCAGCTGCAAAGTGGTGAGGGGGTAGTGACAGGCTGTGTGAGACTCAAATAAGACAGCATATGAAAGGTGCCACGCATCCCTGGCACAGAGTAAACACCTCACGTATGTGAGCTATTGCTGCTTCAGGACGGCAACTTGCACATGTCAAATTGTTTTATGTATTTTGTCATGATCCACTCTTCCAGGGAACTATCATTGTATATATAAAGAAGATATGGGAAATATCAATATCATTTAGGATGATTTTGACTCTAACAGATACCCAACTTAAAATGACTTAAACAAAATTTCCTTTTAAAATCTCACATTCTGAATTTCACCAAATCTAACATGTAATTGCTCAGAAGACACATCCTACATTCAGAAGTATTAAAATGTAAAAATGTGTCTCTGAATCAAAACAGGAGATCTGAAGGTCAGGGGTTTAAGGAATGTCTATTTCAGCAGTTCAATGGCATCTTTCCACTCTGTCTTCACAGGCCTTTGACTCTTACTTTGAAGAAGCCTCATGGATGCAAGACGTCTGCAGCAATACTCAGCATCACATCTTTACTATGTCCCAAAGCCAGAAGAGAAGCTACCCTATTTAAAAGCAATATTTTCCCAACTTGACCAGAATTGCACTGCAATTGATGGAGGAAGAACAGCTTCCAGACAGCTCCTGATAGTGCCCGTGTCCAGGTGTAGTTCCTATGAAATTACCAGTGCAACTGCTCCAAGTGTAAGCAGCCATCTGTTTGGGATTCCACCTATCCTCCTTCATGTTCTTATTCATAAAATTAAAGATTCCTTTCCTGATTAAGAAGTCAATCTTGATGTTGTAAAGACTCTGTTTTTTATTACTGTGGGTTTCAGATACCTCATCTTAAATCCCATCAGTTGTCACCCTAGCACAGCAGGCCAGCTGACTAGATTTTCCCTTTGCGTTCAGAGCCTCAACAGCACTGGGGACTCCTGCCCTGTTCAGCTTGTCTACTTGATCTACTTCTGTCACTTATCACCAGACTGCATCTCTTTCCATGCCAATAAATATAGATCTACCCTAGTCTCGTATAATGGCTATATAACAATTCTACTGACTGTAAAACTCAAATGTACGAGATCTCACTAGCAAAGAGTGCAAATGAGATCATAGTAGCATTAACACTCCAGTCTCAGCAGGTCTGCCCTTGGCTGCTCATTCAGGGATTCTGATGCTGTCTTTGAAGTTTCCCCAGTTATTCCCGCACTGCCTATAAAGTTGTGCCTCACACATGCTCAGGCACCAGGGCTCTTATATTTTGCTCCAGCCCCTTAGTTACTATCTGTGCCATTTGGTTTTGAGCCTGCTGCTGTTCCACTAAGCACAACCGTGCTCTGCAGGAGAAGCTGTGCCCCCTCAGGTGTGAAAGCTACACATTGACCTTTGGCAGAGTGAAGTGCTTTCAAGACCAGTCCTCACTGCAAACTGAGTGGCAACTAGCCTGGGGACAAAGACAGCCCTGCCAGAGCCCAGAGCCTCACAGTCTTTACAAACTAGTTCCTGTGGATTCTCATTCTCACATTTTGTGCCACCAAGTGGCTCAAAACAATAAAGCAGGCATCCAGCATCCTCTTTTCAACATTTTGATTTGTCCCCAACCATTCCTGCAAACACAAACAAATTTTTCTTCTCTTCCCTTTGGCTCCCCAAATGAAAAGTTCTTATATGTTAGATCAACACATTCATGGTGCAGAACAACTGGGACTCTTGACTCTTCCAGTTAGTAGTGTGAATTTGGGGCAAGTTACCTCATGCTTCTGTTTCCTCATCTGTACAACAGGATAGTGAGAAGTATTTCACAGTGCAACTGTAAGGATTAAATGAGTTAGTATACATAAAGACCTTGATGTAGTGAATGCATCCAGTAAACACTATGAAATTTCAAAACTACCAGTATTGGGGCTAGGGATGTGGCTCAAGTGGTAGGTAGCATGCATGCCTGGCATGCGCGCGGGGCTGGGTTTGATCCTCAGCACCACATACAAATAAAAGATGTTGTGTCTGCCGAAAACTAAACAATAAATATTAAAAATTCTCTCTTTAAAAACAAACAAACAACAACAACAACAAAAAAAAAACAACTACCAGTATTGCCTGAGGCAGATCACTTGACCACTAGTTTCACAAGCAGCTTTTGGCAAAAACGATTCTCCCTGCAAGTTTCACATGAAAGGAACTTAGTTTGCAGGGAAAGAACACATTCTTCCTTTCAGTAATAAACAAAATAATTTGTCTTCAAGGGTAAGATGGAGAAACCAAAAGGCCAAAATTTCTGCAGGATGAGTTAAAAATCATTGTTAGTATGAGCAAGAGCAACTGAACACTATATTCAGTGTTATGAGGAAATTAAAAAGAAAAAAAAAGATTAGCCAGTATTATGAGGAAATTTAAAAAAAAAAAAAAAGATTAGCCAGGCGAGGTAACACACACCTGTAATTTCAGCAATTTGGGAGGCTGAGACGGGAAGTTTGCAAGTTCCAGGCCAGCCTCAGCAATTTAAGGAGAGGCTCAGCAACTTAGACATTGTCTCAAACAACTAGAAGGAGGAGGAGGATGTGAAAGAGGAGAAAGAGGATGATGAAGATGGTGACTGGGGATGTAGCTCAGTGGTAAAGCACCCCTGGGTTCAATTCCCAGTACTGCTGCCCACCCCCACCGCCAGAAAAAAAGAAAATGAAAAAAAAAAAAAATTAAAAGATACTTCTCCCTCCCTTTAAGAACTTAGAATCAAATAACAGAGGTAGACAAATACATACTGTAATTTGAAAATAAACACCTGCAACAAATTACCACCTACAGAACAAAATAGTCAAGGCTAAATGCTACAGAGATGATTGCTAATAGGTTTGTAAGAACGGGAAGAGGAATATGCATAAAGATTTCTGGGGTCTTGCAAATTCAAACTCATTTCCAAATAGGCATAAATTCTGGCCCTAACTCCAGGGCTCGGTCTGCCCTACTCAAACATGAAACTGCGTGCCAGGCGCAGAGGGTCCCGACTCAGGAGGCTGAGGCAGAAGAATCGCTAGCTCGAGGGCAGCCTGGACAACTTAGCAAGCCCCTGTTCCAAAATTTAGAAAAAGCCAGGGTGGTTGACTGAAAAGGACACCAGACCAGAGGGTGTTACGACGTTTCTGCTCTTTTCATAGTAATCTGAGGCTTTCCGTCTCCCCTCGCGGAGTCCAGGCTATCCCCAGCGCCAGGCCTCGCCCCACGGACCACCCTAAACGACCCCCCTCCGCCGCACGACACAGTCCGCGGCGCCAGGAGAAATGCAATGCGGCCGGGCCTCGACGTCCTTCTCGGTCCTGCCCTCGAACTTCCGGCGCCTCCCCAGCCTCGGCCCGGGACCTCTAGCGCACGGCGCAGCTCAGCAACCTCTACCTTTGCCACCCGACCGCGGGGCCCGCCAGGGACCAGGCTTCCCAGCCCGCGCCCTCTGCTGCCCCTCGTGGCGGCCTCCGTCTTACCGCGGCTCGGTCGGCAACGAGAGAACGACATTTCCCATCCGCCTCCCTTAACCTCGCGAGAGCTCCGGCGAGGCCGCGGGGGAGAGTTGCGCGCAGGCGCGGTCTCGCGTTCTTTCAGCGATCGGCCGCGTGTCTGGGAAGCGTGGCGCCACGGTTGGGCGCAGCACCGCTGAGCAGCCCTCTAGGCTTTGGGTGATGATAAGGTTGCGGAGGTGGGAAAACGGGGCTTTCTTCAACACCGGGGTAGCACTGAGAGGCGAAGTGGTGACCATCAGCCCGGCCTCCCTCTCACGGAGTGGTGGTAGGGTTGAGGTTCTGTACGAGGAAATGCCTCCCAAACGGCGAGAAATTGGGAAGGACGAGAGCTGAACCCCGTTTTTGGCGTCGCAGGGTTCCTCCTGGGAGAGGGAGGTCCTTGCAGTTTGCGCGACCCCGTGCGTCCACCTTCGTGCTGAGCACGCGCGCCCGGCGGCCCTGGGCCTGTCGGGCTCCCTGTCCACCTGTGGACAGGTTAGGCCCGGGGGCAGGCTAGGCGCGTGGCACTGCAGCATTCGGCCTCGGGAGTGTGAGCGCGGGAATGCACCCTTGCCCTGAGAGCCTTGAGAACACCCAGGCAGTCGTTTTTATTTACTAATGGTAGTGAAAGGGATTGTAGACTTTGGAAATCTGGTTATACTATTTTTTTCTTACCAGTACCAGGGATTGAACCCAGAGGGATTTACTATTGAGCTACATTATTTTAGCTTTTTTTATTCACTCGTTTTAAAATTTTGAGACGGGATCTTGCCAATTCGCAGAAACTGACCCGAATTTGCCATCCTACTGCCTTAACACCGCCCCACCCGCCTCCTTCGCTGGGATTAGCGTTGTGCGCCATCGCGCCTGGCTGGAAATCTAGTTTTGATAACGAAACTTTGTTTCCATTTTTGAAAGCCTTTCTCTAGCTTCTGGGGAGATGAGAAGCAGAGCTGCAGGTTGCAGTTTAAAAGTAACGGAACCGCAAAATGAGAAGAGATGGATGCAAGCAGGACCTGGGGGTGGTCACCAGAAAGCAGAGATGGCGTGATGTCCCGGCACATCCACCTCATAAGTTGTTCGAAGTTAAGTTGAACTGTGAGTACAGGGTGACTAAGTCCCTTTACAGTAGAAATGGGGAGGGTCTGTGCTACTGTAATATGAGGCCACTAGGTGTCACTGTTTGAAGTCAACATGGATGGCATTGTGTATGGGGATGAAACAGACTTGGAAAATAAGTTTTGGTTGCTAGGATTTAGGAATCTGTTACTGGTTGAGCTGAGGAGGACATAAGTTATCCCTGGCTGAAGTGACATCTTTTGTGAAGAGTTCTGACTTAACTGAGACTCAGCTTTTTGAAAATAAATGCCTGAAGGTAGTTTCTGTTAGAATGAACTATGACATCCTTATTTCTCTTTTAGATCCATGGTATTGGCTGTGGACTTGTGAAACCCATCATCTTAAAATATTGACCTTAAGAATTTTTGTGATGAAATTTCTGTAAATGGTAAGATTTTAGCTCTGATAGAATTGCACAGGTTATGGTCCCCTTTAAGTACTTACTGGTCTTTTGGATTTGGGGATGTGGGAGTCTGCAGGATTGTAGTTGCCCAGACAAGGGAAATAGTATGAAATTCTTTCTGCTTGATTATAATTATTATTATTATTTTTTGCCTAAAAGTCTCAGAATTGGTATTTGTATTAACAACCTGTGTGAGGTAGACCCCTCCATACACACAATCTGCTGCTGAGTAAATAAACAGGCTTAGGGAGTTCTGTCCAAAGTGAAAAACCATTTCATTTATTTATATGTGGTGCTGAGAATTGAACCCAGTGTCTCACACGTGCTAGCCAGCGCTCTAGCACTGAGCTAAAACCCCAGCCCCATAACTATTTTTTGACTTAGTTGTATCATTGACTCTCAACTGAGGATGGAGGGTGCACCTGGTGTCTGGTGGATGCTGCTAACTATCCTACAAAGCATAGACAGCCCATATAAGAACTTCCACCTGAAATGTCAGTAGAGTTAAGATTGAGAAACTGTTAGATTAACTAGAGGTCTGGGTTCCAGTCTTGGTTTGATACCAAATAAAAGCACCATGGCGCTTCTTTTAAAACAGGGTTAATGGTTTTCAAACCTAGTTATATGTCAAAACCACCTACATAGTGTTAGAATGTACACATTTCTGGGCCCCACACCAGCCATGGATGAGAATGACTCTAGAGGGTGTCCCAAGAGTCATGTAGCCAGTCCCAGAGCAGGTGTGTAGGAACAGTTAGATGCTCTGATCTGCTTTGAGCTCAAGGATTTTATTACAGCAAGATTATAGTGATGGCTATTTTTAAGTAGCTTGTGGGGCAGATGTCTAATCCTCTATCTTAAAAAACTGAAAGCCACATGCTTGCTCTGCAGGATAGTTTTGTACATGCAGATGGATGAAGGAGAAATGACCTTGTGTGGTATTGTCATCTCGTGGCAGTAGGAGCTGTTTATGCAGCTGGTCCTCAATAGGCTAGTTGAAAGGATGAGTGATCTGCACCTACTAGGCATTTTACTGATGTCCTAGAGAGACAATTGAATGTTGCCTCTTGTTCAGCTGTGAAGCACTCTGCTTAAGTCTTTTTATAAGGGCAGGAGTTGTCATTGAGCCAGGTCTGGGACACTGGCTGCATCCAGACACCAAATACTAAAAATTTTTGCCATGGAAGGAAAGCATACTCTAATAAAGTAGACAAAATTGATGGATAGTTCTCATGAGGGAAGTAAAGCACGACTTAATAAGAAATCATTGACGTGTGCTCTGGTGGGCAGTACTGTGGGCTAGCAGATTGGTGAGCTGAGTTCATGATGATGTCAAGTTATCCCTGTCTGAAGGCAAGGAAAGGCCTTTCTGTGTGGAATGTGGATATCTGAAACTCAGCTTTGCAAGTTTGCCTTATGAGAAGTTCATGATTTTAAAGAGAACTACTTTAGAGGTACTCTGTTTACATATTCTTCAGTAGTTTTCTTTTTTTCCAATTTCTCTTCCTCACCAGGTGCAGTCTCTGCTTCAGTTGGAAAAGGACCCTCTAGCAGCCACATTGTGGCAGGCACCATGGACCTGAACCCCAAGTGGAATCTCTCATGTAAGCAGAGAAGTCCTGCTGCACATGCTTGGGTGAAGGGTTAGCTCTTTTTTTGTCTCCCCTGCCCTGGACTTGGGAAGGTGCTAAGTAGCAGGGAGTCTTTAACATACTTTTGTTTTCATTGCTAGGTATCTACTCAGCGAGGTTACTAACTGTAAACTGCTTTACCAGAAGGCAAGTAAAACAGTTCCTCTCCTGTTTGTAAATTGTTTTATCATGTGTTCCTAAGAAGCCTCACAAGCCTATGATGGTTAGTTATCCCTGTCTGAAAATCTCGATTGAGGGAAAATAATCTATTCTGAGGCTTAAGGTGTGGCTCCATGTTCCAGTAGTAGTTCAGGCTTTACAAGGATCAAATCAAGTGGACAGTGCAGGGAGTTGTGTGTGCCCTGCTGAGACTCCAGTCTACAGATCAGATGTTCAGACTAAAGGTCTAGTTGCCCTGTTAATGTCTGTCCCTTTCGGTGATAGCTCTGAAGGCACAGACTCTGTGAGACTACAGAAATGGGCAAGGACTTACTGTGAAGGAGAAGAGTGCCTACCACATATTTCAAGGAAATGAATGTGCCCTTTGAAACTGAAACTGGAATGTAAAATATATGCCAGCTTGTGGCAGTGAGAATGCTTAATTACTGACCTTGCCTCTGCAGCAGTGTCCTGACATTTAGGAAAGAAAAGTGCCATGGCCCTGGCAGAACTGTTGGTTTCCTGTGCTTTGTTAACACCACCAGGGAGCCCTTCTTCCTGTAGCTGAGATTCTGTCTGGATGGCATGGCTGGCACTGGGCCACTGCTTGGGCAGCAGAGGTTGGCACATGAGCAAGAAAAAAGCAAAGTGGTACTGTGGGGGTAATTCTGCCTTTGTTTCCTTTTTAAATGCCAGGCTTGAAGTGGACCCAGATTTTCTCTTCTGTTGAAACTGGAGAGCTGATCTTTAAGGTCATATTTTTGTTCAGTTACCAGGGCAGTCTCGATTGGGGTGAGATTTAACAAGCTTGAAAACTGGCCCCAGCTGCTTACAGCCTTCCAAGTAAAGCAAAGTGAAGGAGTGGGTCAGCAGGTGGGAAGATCCACATTGTTATCATGTGCTTCCAGGGGGCTCAACCAACCTGGGTAAACCTTGAGATTCAGAGGGAGTTGGATGCAAATATCCCTGCTATTTAGTGGGAGTCTTTTCTGGCCGCCCTCCTTAGACACTGGCTCCTTAAAATGAGTCCTCTTAGAATCTCACCAGCCTGCGTTAAAACTTTTGATAGTTCTTGTGCTCCCCCAGTATACATATGCCCAATACATAATGGCTAGAACAAATCCTCTTAGACTGTTTGCCTTTTGCTTTTAATGTTTGGTTGTGATGCACTTAGTTGGCTGTTTACTGGAAATTGTTCTGTTTTACAGGTTATCTCCCGGTGGTGCCAGACGGGATCTGCACGGCCCTGCTTCTGCTAATGCCTATGAGTTAATCCCACCCAAATAGAATCATAAGAATTTTTTTGGATTTCATCCTCAAAAATAGCCAAGGAATTTGAGTGACTGAGATCACCATCACCACTTTTAGCAGCTAGTGAAGTTGGGGTATAACTAAAAATATCTGGACTTCAGTTTAGGTGGTCTGAGTATAATCTCATGTATAGATGGGACTTCGGTGATTGTAAATTGAAATTGTTAATGTGCATACATTGTTGTAGGAAGCTAAGGGGAAACAATGCTTGTCCTCAAAAAGCATTTCTCAGTGGATTTCCTGTGAAGTCATTGTTTAAAATTTTGAAGCACAATTAAAGGTTCTGTTTTGTTGTATTTTTTATTCACTAGCAATGTGGATTTCAGATTGAGACACAAAGTAAGAACATTATTTGTTCTATGATTCAAGAGAACATTCTTAGGAGTTTCACAGGATTTGATCTTTTTTTTTTTCTATATTTGTACCTGCTAAAGTGATGATATACTGCATGTATTGCCACCCACAAACATTGCTTTTTTTTTTACCTTAAATCTAATAAAACACTGATAAAGGTACTACTGGCATCTAGAGGGTCGGTGGGCACGGGGAAAGTGCTATAATCTTGGGTGTCAGGGCAGTGCTCGGTTACCAAGCTAATCAGATTAGTGGTAGTGATCATCACTAGGTCACTGTAAGACACCAGAATGGATTGTGACTGTCAGGGTATCTTATATATTCCCCTGTTTGACTTCCTTCCAAACCAAGTATTCTGTCAAATACCACTCTCCTGGAGGTAAGGCCAACCAGGAGGTTTTGTCCTGATGCCAGTAACTGAAATGTTGTTTCCCTCTAGTCCTGGGCTCCAAGCAGTGGTAGCTGCCTTGTAACTAAAGCCCACCTGTCAATTGTGTTGATCAGGATTGTCTGGATTACTGAATGCTGTGGTGTGTGGTGACCGAGTTTTTCATCCCTCTTGAGAGAATAAAATCAAGCTCCCAAAACCATAGAAACCTGGCCTTGGTGGATTGGCCATTGTAGGCAGTGGCTACCTTGGGAAGTTGCCAGCATTTGCTGGCAACAGCTCTTGCTTATGTGCAGTGCAGCCTACTAAGTGATCTAAAGCCACTAGTTTGTGTCCAGTATCAGGGCTTGGTTAGGGGCTGTTGGGTGCGACTTAAAATCACTTAAAAGCCCATAAAATTATGAAACTGCTTATGAGCTAGATAGGTTCAAATTTATTGAAGCCATGATGTGAGGATGAGGTTTCATGACCAGTAGTGTCATCCTGTTGGTGACAAGATCCTCAGCATTGGTGGCGGTGGCAGGCAGGCTTCTGTGCAGTTGACCCCCATCAAACACCAGTATCTCCTGTTCTTGGACTCTGGTAAACTTCGTGCTGAACACCAGCATCTTCTGTACTTTCTCTACCAACCCCCAGCACAAGACAAAATGGTCATTCATTTATGCAGTTAACCTAGTCTTGAGTTTTACTTTTGCCTTTTGCTCTTACACTTTATCAGGGGGCAGAAAAATCATGGTCTCAGGTGCTTAAGATGTCCTCAGTTGAGTGGCTTTGGTGTTTGGGGATGACATGCCATTAGGGGTGAGTTGGGGCTGGGATTGTGTGTTTGCCTGCTTGTCTGGCTTGATCTTGGTTACTGATGGATCCTGAATGGCATCATTGATCTAAGTCTGTTGGCTGTTGCTTAGCTCCAAGGTGTGCCTGCCTCTTGCTGGTAAGGGTCACTGATGTTGGGAATGTTGTCTTCAATTTTGAAACAAATCCAGCAAAGCAGTCTGCTTTCCTTTAACCAAAGTGGGATGTCTAAGACCCAGAGGGTTTTCCTTTAGATGGTAAGATAGGGTGCCCTCCTTTTAGTAACAGTCACGAGTTCACCTCAGTATCTTCTGTTGGGAAGTAGAGGGTCAGGGGGAGTGAACCCCCTTCTCAAAGGTTGAAAAAAAGGGGGGAGGGCTTTTGGCCAGGGTCACAGCCCTGCAAGAAGCAGAAGGCTTTGTGCTTTGGGGTCAGCGCTGGTACAGCCAAAGGATGCCAGCCTTATGTAGGTCTCTCCACAGAACGGCTTCCAGGGGCAGATCATGGTTTGCATAGAATATCAGTGGCTTCTTTACTCGTTCGAAATAGTGGTCAGAATATTTCTGGTAGTTCTTTGTGATGAATCCATAGGCACTGACCTGGATAAAACCATTATTGAGTTAGTATTTGTTGATGCTTGGAGGTGTATGAACTCAGAAAGGTCTGCTGCATGCCCACACAGGTGCATAGGTGCAGATGCAGGTAAACACAGCTCACAGGGGCACTTTTTTCCTACACATTCTCACCCCAGCATTAAGACCTCAAGATAAGTTATCCCCCTGAACAAGCAAGGAAGTGGAGACATCTCTCCCTCCACTCACTTAAGGCAAAGCTGGGTTTGAAACTTTGGTGTGACTAAAGCCATGATCTTCAAGTTCAGGCTGATTCAGGAATTAATAGTGACTGCAATCAAGAGACTTCTATATTAAAATAGGGAAAATATGTGGGACCAGAGTGGAGTTTGGCCTCTAGCCTTTGTACTGGCTTTACCAGGGTCTCGAAAACTTCTCAGCCTCTGCTGTTCACTTCAGTATGTTTTATGTGTGGGACACTGAACCTGCTCACCTGTCCCATGTCAGTTCCAGCGTGTCCCCACAAGAGGACCTCCTGGTTGAGAAGATTCTGCTTTCAGAAGAGCAGCATGATTTAGTGTGAAAGAAGTGCTGGGGCAGGTGGCTGCACGGTTCAAGGCAAAGCTGACTCAGGCCCTTCCTGGGGAGGACCCTGGGGAGCAGGTGTGCAAGCAGGTTGATAGTGCCACTCCTGCACTGGGGAATCCTTTCACTGTGGGATGGTGGCCTGGAGTCCCTATCTAGGTGGCCAGGTCTCAGGGAAGGACTATTGGGAGTCATACTGAGTTGAGTTCTGCTCAAATCTCTGCTCCGTGGCCTCAGGCTCCTTACCTGGTCACAAGTATGCAAAGCTGTCAGCAGCATGAGGGCCCCAGTACTGGGCATATATAGGTCTCCGAAGTTTGTGTTAATCAATTTTGATTTCAAAAACCTACAAACAAAAAGGTATTAAAACCCGAGAAACATTCAACTGTTGTCTGTTAGCTTCAGATTGCACCACTAACTATACTGCACAGCTACCCATTCAAACAAGTAAACAACATATGGTCCTTCTACCCAATCAATTCCCCATTTTGGGGAAAAAGCCAAATAAATTCCAAAATTCAAGGATCTCATGGCAGGAGTTGGGAAGATGAGAAAGGAAACCCAGGTAGGATCTTTCCACCTTTCTCCACTGGCAACACCTTATTTCCGCTCCTATTGTTAGGTAACCACAAAGCCTAGGACATAAGCAGCCTATTCATTTAGCCTGAGCCCTTTCTCTACCCCACATCTTGATCACTCAGGAATGAGTGAGGTGGGAGCTCAGATCCTGTGTCTGGACTCACTGGTGTGATGGTGCCCACACTCATATGACCTGCAGAATGGGCATATAACTGCTGTGGTTTCTGTGGGGCTCCCTAGATGCACTTGGCTACCCTTCTCCACTCTGTCCTGGGATGCTTGCCTCTGGGCTACTTCAGGGTTTCTCAACTATGACACCATTGACATTTATGGCATAGTCCCCCCCACCTCCTGCTCTGGGTACTGGGAATTGAACCCAGGGGTGCTTAATCACTGAGCTACCCGCACCCAGCCTTTTATTGTATTTTGAGAAGTTGCTAAGGCTCACTGAACTTGCGATCCTCCTGCTTCACCCTCCCTCAGCCTTGGGAAACGCTGGGATCACAGGCAGTGCACCAGCCTGCCTGGCTGGGTAGTTCTTATTGCAGGGGACATTCTGTGCACTTCCTGTTCAGCAGCAGCCCTGGCCTCTACCCACTAATGGCACTCACCTGACCCCCCTCCTGTGACAGACAAAAATGTCTTCAGACAGAACCAAGTACCCACCCTACCCCACCCTCTGTTGAGAACCACTGGGAGGAGAGGGGGAGAGAAGGAGATCAGGCCCTTTCTTCCCCAGATTCCTCCAGTGGTGGCTTTCAGCTGGCTGGGTTTGCTGTTGCTAATACCCCCTACCTCTGCACAGCTGGCTCCTTGGTACAGGGCTTGTGCCTTTGTGTGAGGGTCCCTGGGAAATAAACTTCCTGGGCTTATCCTGAGTTTTCTGCCATTGCCTGTCGACTGACTGCTCCATCAAGGTAGCAAGCAAAGGAGTAAATGCCATGGCAAAGTGCTTGGCTCTGCGGGGGAGTTGGGGAGCACCGACTGCGTGGACCCCTCACCCGTGGTAGGTGTGGGCGAGGAAAGGGAGCTGGTGTTCCGCCCGTCACCCCATCCCAGTACCTCTTTGTCAGGTAGCTGATGAATTCTGGGTGCAGCAGTTTGAATTTACTGGCAGAGGCTTCCGGTCCAAAATAGGTGCGAGGCCTAGGACCCACGATAGAAGTGGACAGAGCGCCCGGAACCGTCGAAGGGCAAGGGGGAGAACGAGGGGAAGAAGGTGGAGCTGAGGTTCCGGCGATAGGTGCGGTAGTAGGGCCGGGGCTGCGAGTAGTAGCGCGAGAAGGGGGTGTAGAAGGTGGCGGGCAGCACCGTGGGCACCACGTGCGGCTTCCCTCTCAGCAGCACCTCGGTGGGCGGGGAGTAGGAGAGCGAGCTGGGCGGGATGAAGAGCGAGGGCGGCGTGGGGTAGGTGCACGAGGTCTGCGGCGGGAGCGGGGGCGGCGGCAGCAGCGGCAGGTAGAAGGAGTCGGGCATAGGCGGGGGCTCCCTGGTCTCGGTGCCGGGAAAGGTGCAGGGGAAGCACTGGTTTTGGGGGAGCGGTGATGTCGGCGGCTGGAAGAAGGGGGCCTCGTTCAGGAAGCGGGGCACGTAGGGAGCGATGCAGGACGGGATGCTCGGGGCGGAGGGCCCGATGTAGGAGGACGAGGGGACCGGGCTTTGGTAGGGGGACTTGCCCAGCGGCACCGAGGGGGTCAGGGAAGGGTTTCTAGAGAGGGACTTAAAGCCAGACAGGGAGGGGGATTTGGAGGCCGGTGGAGTCCGGACCACATGTTGGATGTGAGGACTCGGGGTCAGGGAGGAAGTCCAGGAAGAGGGCTGAGAGGTGTTTGGGGTGGCAGGGTGAGAGGGTGGGCGGGAGGAAGACCCCCGGGTGGGGGAGGCAGGAGGGAGTGAGCCTGCAGGGCTGGGGTAGGGCTGCTGACTGGAAGGGAGGACAATGTGGTTGGAGCGGGACTGGGAGGGGGATTGGGTTGGGGATGGATTGGGGGTGTGGGAGGGGGAGCTCATTGGTGTTGGGGAGGCTTATGTCCACCTGATGTCCCTGAGGCAGCCCCCCCAAAGAGCCCAGTCCTGTTGGTGTCACAGAGCCCATCCTGGTGGCCAATGGCAACAGGGGGAGCAATTGTTGGGTAACACAAGGGGGTGGGGGAGGGCCTGGACACAGGACCCCCACAGATGGCAGTCAGGCCCTTGTGATTTGACCCATAAAGGCCCCTCAAAATGTGCTCTTTTGGGAGTGGGTGAAATGTCCAGAGGGCACTGTGAGAGGGGACTGCTCATGTCTCAGTGGTAGCACAGGTTTCTAAGCAACTGATTTCAGGGAGAAGACACCGGGCAGTGCCAGGACACGGTCTGCAAGAGCTGGGCGCAGCCCACTGCCTTGGAAGGTGGGAGAGGGAAGACAGTGTGTCCCGGCTTGTCACCTGTCAGGACACTGCCTGAGGAGCCTGTGCTTTGGGCTTCTTGGGAGGGTGCCCACCCACCACCTAGTCTTCAGAACAATGTTCTCAAGGGGTCATCAGACCCAGCTGAGGAAAGGCCTCTGCCACTGTGGCCTGTGGCCTTGAGCAGCTGACAGCTGGACTGGTGATGGAGACCATGGCCTGAAGCAAGGAGCCAGGCCTGCTCTCTCCATTCAGAGAACCTGCCCCTGGAGCCAGCAGGAGACCAATAGGGTCACCTGGGTGTCCTGCAGGTAAACACAGTTCCTCAGCACTGAATCACATTCAATGTCTGAGGATTGTTGAGTTCTTGGGATTTCCCTGTTGCCCTTCACCCAGTGACCGGCTCCACTGTGGCCCCAGAAACATGGAGTGACCACTCAGCATTACCCGCCCCCTACACCACAGCCTCACACCACTACCATGTGGATGCTCACCTGTCCCCTTTGTCAGGGCCCTCTGGGACAGACACACCCAGGATGGCTGATCTCAGCATCAGGTAGTCACGGATGCTTGAGGGGATGAAGATATAACGCAGGTCCTATTAGGGCAACAGGGATAAGGCCACATTCAGCTTCTGCTTGGAGTGAACTGCCCTCCAAACTGCCCTCCACACAGTCTTGCCACCAGAGCTGACTGAGGAGTTTCCTAACATACCTCTCTTCTTACTCTGAGGTACTGTGGTTGTTTCAATGTATGTTCAGATTCTTTGATACCCTTCCCTACAAGGGTGAAGACTAATTGTTGTCCCCAAACACTATTTTTTTTTTTTGCAATACCACTGAGCTATACTCCCAGCTCTTGTTAAATTTTATTTTGAGACAGTCTGAGTTGCCCAGGCTGGCTCAAATTTGCTGTCCTCCTGCCTCAGCCTCCCAAGTAGCTGGGATTGTGGGTGTGCACCTCTGCACCCAGCTCCCTGGAGTATGGGCTGGACTTAGGGACTAGTGCACAGAATTTTTCTGTTAAATGCAAAGTGGAATATGATAATATGTGACTTTGAAGACTAGGTCATAAAGGTGCTGGGGCTCCTTGCTCTCTTTTAGATGACACTCAGTGAAATTAGCTGCCAGGTCATGGGAACTCTTGAGTGGCTTATAGAGGGGTGCAAGTCTCAAGGACCTTTGAGGGAAGAACCATCCTGACTCCAGCCCCAGTCAAGCCATAAGATGACAACAACCCATTGCCTGAAAGACTGAACCAGAACCACTCTAATAAGCCACTCTCAAATTCCCCACCCATTGAAACAGTGAGATAATAAATGTTGTTTAAGGTGATAGTGTCATTCATTATACGGCAATAAATAACTGGTGCAGGTATTATGGCCATACCAGAAATCTGCCCCATTTTTTCTATTATTAGCAATGAAAGGTTCTATTAGGGGAATTCAGTGCATATGTAGTATGGGTAGGACCCTCCTGAATGCTCTACTCAGAGAAGGTTCTGGAAACCAGTTTCAGAGAAACTGCCCCTGGAGCCAGTAGGAGACCAATAGGGTCACGTGGGTGTCCAGCAGGTAGTCAACACAGTTCCTCAACTCTGAATCACATTCAATGTCTGAGGATTGTTGAGTTCTTGGGATTTCCCTGTTGCCCTTCACCCAGTGACCGGCTTCTGCAATACAGAACCTCTGTCCTGGGATCTGCATGTGGCACCCAGATTGTCTGAGGCAGGACGCATGAAGTCAGGACACCTGAGTGTGGCTGAGACAATCTGGATGCTGTCACTAGCTGTGACCTGTGACCTGGGGCATGTTTCTTAGTCTCTTTGAACCTCAGTTTCCTACACAGAGCTGTTGTGGGAATTTGAGAGGTCACATTGTCATTCTTTTGGTGGGCCCTATGGGGACGTGGAAACAACCCTACTCCTATAGTCCAAGAGGCCTATATTTTGATAATTCTAGCTGGATGACAGTGGACATGTTCCTGAAACTCTCAGAGTCTGAGTTTTGCCATTTGGAAATAGGTATGATGATCCCACTTGAGGCTGCAATGATGTCTGTGTCTATGTCCTGGGCGCCAAAGAGGTGTTCAATAGATACTCTTCTACTGGACCGTGCCATGACGTGGTGATCCCCCCCAGAGGATATGAGTTCTGGGGTGGGCAGTCTGGATTTGAATTCTGGCCTACTGCCCACTTGCTGAATGAAAGGAAACCAAGTCTCAATTTTCTCACCAGTAAAGTGAGGCAGTGTAAAAGTTGATGTGGTATCTGTCAACTGCCTGGCACATCATCAGCCTTCAGTAAATATTAGCCTGAGCCAGCTACCTAAAAGAACAGGGGTCTCTGACCAGATCTGCCTTGACCTTTAATGGCTACACCTTGGGTAGCCAAGATCCTGGCACTACCTCTCCAGCCACTGGACTGGGGTCTGAAAGTCCTATGGCCCATCCCACCAACAGGGCCCAGGAACATGGGGAGACCAATAGGGTCATGTGGGTGTCCAGCAGGTAGTCAACACAGTTCCTCCACAGGAACCCACTGTTCATCTCATGGCATGGCCATCAGAGGCCTCACCTGTCCTTGTGGCACAGAAGTGAAGCCCAGATTCTGGTAGGAGATGAGGGAGTTCTTCATGGTGTTCACAGTGAAACCATAGAAGGAGGTCTTGGTGCCCACATCTTGCTCAAAGCCTTTGATCACCGCTCCATTGAGCCTGGCCAGAATGGAGGACATCAGTGTCATCGTGGTCACACCATGCTATCTGCTTTCCTTCCAGCTCTGCCTCGCCTATCCTCTCCCCATACTTCTGTGTAGACACCCCCTTTGCCCAGGGCAACACCTGTGTGCAGGGGTCCTGGGAAGGGCACACTGGCCTGGTGGCCCCTTGCTCCCAGGTCCTCCTGTACAGCGTACCCACGCTCTGTCTTGAGGTCTGTGGAGTCTGTGCCTGTCTACCCATCATCACTGCTGAGCTGTCTCGGGGGGTACTGCCTTGGCTCTCCACCCAGCTCTGCTGTCCCAGCCCTTCCAGGCCCCTGCCCTCATACCTGAACACGTAGTCATGGGCATCAATTTGCAGACCCTGACGGGACCCGTTCAGAATGCCTCCATTACCCACCACGGCACAGCGAATACAGTCTGGGGAGGGCCCCCCCGAGGCGGCAAACAGTCTTTCATTCTCTGAGCTGTTCAGAAGGCTCAGGGTAGAGGCGATGGCTGTGCATGAAGACAAGGGGGAGCCACGGAGTCATGGGGGCCTCTCCTGGCCTTGCTCCCCAGAGGCCTGACCCCAGCCCCTCCCCAGAGGCACAAAGGGTGGGCAGAGAATGGGGGGGTCAGTGAGGGAGAGAACTAAGAGAAGGGTGAAGGGAAGGGGGCTCTGCTGGGCCTTCAGTGGCCTCAAGAACGTGAATAACCCATCCTCTCGAGGCTGTGTGTGGTCCGAACAAGAGAATCTGAAGTGGACTCAGGGCAGCTCTGATGTGGAGGGGCTCCGGGCCTGAGGGAAGTGGTTTCTGAGCAGCAACCATGAGTGGGCTGACGGGGCCCCTTTGGCCTCTGTCCTCAACCTCTGTTGGACCCGAATACTTCATGCCAGGGAGACCCCAGGGTGGCGAGAACTGCCAGGCAGGGGCACTCAGCCCTCTGCTGAGCCCTGGGTGCTTGGATGAAGGAAGGAGGTGAGGTCAGTGTCACACAGCTGGGGGTCTCAGGGGAGAACTCAGATCACTGAGAGTGGGGCCTGGTCCACCCCAGGGCCAGCAGGAGGAAGAAGGGGCGGCAGGGAAGAGGCAGGGGGTAGTAGGTACTTTGGTGTGAGAGTCCCTGCCAGCCATAGGGGCCCTTCTGCTGTCTCAGGTTGTCCCAGAGCTCTGGGGTGAAGAGTCCCCCCCACAGCAGCACTGGAGTGGAGAGATCAAACAGTTTCCGGAAGCGTTGGTGCCTCAGAATGGCCAGGTCAAGCGGGTGTGGGCAGGGCCGGCTCTGTGGGTGAGAAGATAAGAAGGCTGAGCCCCATTAGGAAGGGGCCTGGGTGGGTGGGTGGCCTCCAGGGAGCTGCAGGGATGAGCGTCCTTCCTCTCCAGACTGGGGCCACCCGGATCTGCTAATTGAAATGGCCTCTGGTCCAGCCGCCTGGTGAGGGTCAGAGAAAATTCTGGATTTAGCCTGCCACCCCTTCCTCTCCCAGACGCCACATCTCCATGCTCTGCCGGGTCTGGCCTCCCACTCCTTCGCCTCAGACCTGGGCAAACATTGGGCACTTTCCAGTGCCCTGACAGTATGACCTGCCCCTTCAGTGGAGGAGTTGGGCCCCGGCTTTGGAATCCATCAGCCTGGTCCAAAGCCTGTCTCTGGCAGGACTCCCTGTAGGACTCTTGTGTGAAAGGGAAGATTTGTAATTACCTTTCTTCCCATTGGTGTTTATGTTCAACTCTTTTCCCCCCCCCCCCCCCCGCAGTTCATGTCCATCTAGAACCTTAATAGGTGACCTTATTTGGAACTAGGTAATCAAAGGTGTCATTAAATATGAGGCCATCTATGGGCTGGGGATGTTGTTCAGGGGTAGAGCATTTGCCTAACATGCTTTAGGCCCAGAGTTCAATCCCCAGGACCATCCCCTCCCCCGCAAAAAGAAAAAAAAAAAAAAACTCAGGCCAATATGTGATTTGTTGGGCTCTGAATCCAACAATGAGCCTCCTCATAAGGAGGCCTGTGAAGACACGTGAACAACATGTCATGACAGGCAGGTGGAAGGTGCAGCTCCTGGACCACCAGAGTGGGAGAGCCTGGGGAGCTTGCCTTAGAGCCTTCAGGGTAGCATGGCCATGCTAAGACTTTGATTTTGGATTTCTGGCCTCCAGAACTCTTGGAGAATCAATTTCTGTTGTTTGAAGCCACCCAGTCTATTGTCATTTGTCCCCAGTAGTGACAGGAAATGAACACAGCACCTCTGACTAAGGGAGAGTGGGGACGCCTGTCCACAGCATTGGGATCCCAGGAGCTGTGGCTGGGCTGGGCTGCCGTTATGGCTGAATGGGGCTCCCTGACGGGAGGGCAGCAGGAGGTAGCTGCACTGTCACCGCCACCACTACCCCAGTGAACGCCTGACCAACAGACGCTTAACCACGTCTTACGAAACTGTGCAACTGAACCACAGAGCTTGGGGAGATGGAGTGAGCAGCCCAACACTTGGACACGCCAGTGACACGAAACCAAAGACAGGGACCCGAGAAAGACAGGAGCCTGCATTGTTGAGTGACACATAACTACGAACCCAAAATGGCACTTTTCCTTGAAACAGACTTGAGGTTTGCTTGTGGAAGTGGTGTCCGAAGGGTAGCAGCTTGTGGGTGTGAAATGGAGGGAGGGAGGGTTATCTGAAATTGGAAGGGAAGTTGTAATACCGTGTGTGGGGTCAGCCCATAACACATGACAGGAAGCTGACAGATGGCTCAGGGGTGTGTGTGGGTGCACTTTTTGTGTGGCCTGGTTCAGATGGATGTGATTTTCTACTTCACTTAGTGTTCTCACTGGCAAAATTACTCATAAGCAAATGCAAAATTTGTGTGATGCTCAAGTTGTTGTCTATATGCATCCAATCCTTTCTTTCTTTTTTTTTTTGCACCAGGTATTGAACCCAGCAGTACTTTACCATTGAACCACATCCTCAGCACTCTTTCTTTCTATCTTTTTTTTTTGGAGACAGGATCTCATTAGGGATTTGCTAAATTGCTGAGGCTGGCCTGGAACCGGCATTCCTCCTACTTCAGCCTCCCAAGTCCCTGGGATTCTATGAGTGCACTACCACAATAGCTAACATATCGATCTTGTTGGCACAACTTCACATTTTCAAAGAGGCATTATAGCAGAACTAACTATAATAATTTCACAATTTAATTTGTCATAAAGGTGTTTTTTGGGGGGCTTCTCTTTTTTGTGGCACTGGGGGTTGAACCCAGGGGTGCTCTACCATGAGCTACACCAGCCTCACCACATCTCTGCTTTTTTGAGACAAGGTTTCACAAAGTTGCCCAGTTTGGACTCAAATTTATAATCCCGTTGCCTCAGCCTTCCAAGCTCCTGGGATTGCAGGGGTGTGCCACCACCCTTTGTTTCATAGGGGCCCTCTTTACAGCCCCAGAAGGAGAGTTTTCAGGTCTCTACTTCAGCAAAGCCTGGGTTCCCCTTGGGTAGCTGGCTTGCTTTTACCCCACGAACGTGGTGGCAAGGTCTTCTTAGCTCTGGCCACCAGAAAGCTCAGAGCCAGGTACATGGCCCGTCTCTCCCACCTTGTAGCATTGCCTTATTTTTCTACATTTACCTTTCCTTTGGGCTTCTCCTCATTTTATTCTATTTTGTTTTTGTCTCAGGCATGGATTCAGCTTGCCATGACTGCAGCCATCTTGGGATGGAACTGCCATTATTGCCCCTGAATAACCCTAGTTTTTCCTGCAGAATTTCCCAGCAGACCCTAAGTAGATAATAACACTGGAATTGTATGTGGAGCTTTATAACTTGGACCCTGGCTCCAGGGATGCACTTGACTATTTGAAATTATCTCAAGATAAACCAGATCCATTCCAGCTGGATAAAGTCACTTTTGGCCTAACCCAGAAATATGCCTGTCTTTCTGGACCCAAATTTCAGTCATATGCAGGTCTTGCTGCTGCACAGGACCACACCCTGATAAATTGCATTCTGTGGAATCCTGGATCTATCTGCCTCTTTTTGGTTTCATGGCCCTTTGGGGTCCTCAAACAGTAGGACCCATTTTTTTCTGGAACACCTTGTTATATGTATTCAGAAACCACCTCAAATCCTTTGTTTTAAACCAGGTGGGCACATGTGTTAATTAGCATCATGTAATTCCAGGTAGAAAGGACTTTGGAAAATTTAAAGACAACCTAGTTCAAGTACTCATACAATATGTAGGATCTCTCTTCACCTGATGGTCACATGGCCGTTGGCCTCTGTTCTTAATGCCCCCCTCCCAATCAGCTGCCCAGGACCACTTGCTCTGTCTCTGAACATCTTGGCTGTCACTTACCTCGTGTATGCAGGGAAGTCCCTTTCCCTGTGGCCTCAATCAGTCTCCCAGGCACTGAAAACAACTTTACAGTGCCTCACTCATGCTAGGTGGGCACTCTACCACTGAGAACTTCACAGATAGAAACCTCCCAGCTCAACTGCCACAACCAGCCCTGGTGGCAGGGTGGAACAGGGCCAGCTTCTGGGGTCAGATCTGGACTCAGTCCCAGTACCACCTCTTGCCCCCTGAGGGATCCTGAGCAAGCCACTTAACTTCTCTGTGCCACATTTTGCTCACCTGGGAGAGTTACCTTCCTGGGTTGCTGAAAGGTTTAAGTCAGAGGAGGCAGGTAACGTGCCAAGCAGCACCTGGGGACCTGTGGTCCATGGTGGCCATTACTTAGGACTATGGAGCAGGGCCCTCTAAGTTCTCAGATCCTCTACCAAGCATGAACATCTTCTCAGAGCTTGGAGTTGACTCCATGGTGAGTAGTTTAAATGTGACTTAAAGTCAGTAGGTATTTCCATGATCAGAGTAAAATCCACCTGAAGTTTTATGGTGACATTTTAAGATTTCTAAGAACTTTTCATCTGGATACACTCGAAATGTGCTTATTTATTCACGCTTTTCTGTTGCTGGGGTACAGGAAACCCTACTGGTTAGGTTACAGACACCCCAATGGGTGGATGCTCAGCTTTGTGCTCGTGGAGAGCCAGAGAGCCAGGCCCAGGAATCTCCTGAGAATGTTCTAGTTTGTTCTTCTTTCCCTTCCTCCCTGAGAACCTGAGAATGCTTAAAAGTGCCCCGGGGAGGTGATCACTGTACCTTTGTGTTCCCAGAACGCCTTGCCTTGGATTGGAAGAATGCTTGGTGAGGCTGGATGTCCCTGTGGGAGAGGGCAGAAGTAAAGCAGAGGCCCAGGTCAGCAGTGGCATCAGATCTGACCTACCCCTTGAAAGCTTCCAGATGGATTCCTGACAAAGTGTCAGGGTCCAAAAAGTATATTCTTTTCACCCTTCTCCCACGCTCTTATTCTTGCTCATATCTCCCTCTTTAGGCACACAAAAATACTGTCACTTGATTGTGTTCTGCCTAGCTACATAAACCCAGAAATTAGGTCCCTCAGAGAATGGCAAAAATGTGGGGTTTATAGGAACAGTGAGATGGTGGTTAAAGTATGAAAATATAAAATAGGAAAGATTGACAGTCTCTGGAATTGTGACCATCTCAGGGGTCCCCTGCCAAAGCCGGGGAGGCGGCCAATAGGTCTAAGATGATGGGATCCCCTCAGCCTTCTGTAGCACTGTCCTGGTGAAGTGCCCGACCCAGAAGCCTGACCCCCAGGTTGTATCCTGCTCTACCACTTGCAGTCTCAGGCAGTTACTGAACGCCTTGGAACCTGTCTTCATATCTGTGCAACAAGGATGATCACGTTGAGCTCATTTGATTGTTGGGTCCAAAGAAAGTCTAGGTTATCACATATGAAAAATGTCTTCTAAATACCAGCCATTGTTACCTAAAGGACCTTGTGCCAGCCTCTCTCTTAGTGTCCCTTCTGGAGGGAGGAAAGGAGCTGATGTTACTCCCAATTCCCAGGCATGAGGTGGCCCCAATAGCAGGGCAGAGGGAAAACTGGAAGGAAGGGATGGGGTCCACCATAAGCCCATTCAAAAGGGTGGTCATGCTAACCCCACCCCCAGCATCCAGAAAAGAGCAGGTGGCAGAGGACTTGGGATTGGCAGTGTGCAAGGGGAAAATCGAAAAACCTCTTGTAGGTGCTGAGACAGCCAACCACTCCGGAATCTGGGATCTGCCTCCCTTTGGTTTCCCAGGTTTCTTGAAAGACCCTCGAGTGACAGCTCAGAAAAGGCAGGGATGATTCCTCCCTCTACTGTCCCTTTCCCCCCTGGAACTGGTCCCCTGTTCAGGAACAGGGTGACCCCTTTGAGAAAGGGCCAGGATACAGTGCTCAACCCGGGCTGCCTAGGGAGCCCAGTCCCCAAATTCTGATCTGATTGCACCCACATTCCAGGCGACTCCAATGTGCCTCCAGTTTTGAGAACCAGATGGAGATACTGCTGAACAGGGCAGACTTGAGACAGGTGGGAGAGAGGTGCTAGGGTGGGAGTATTGGTGAACATGGGGATTCCCCCAACCCCATTCAGTTTTGCTGCCCTGAACTCTCCCAGCCTCTGTTCTACTCCTCCCCCTCAGGAATCCAAGTGCTTCCAGCTGCCTGCCTGGGCTGCCTGGAAGGGAAAGGGAAAGGGGACGAGCCACTCATGCCCCTCTGGGAAGTTTTACCAGCTGAAGGAGAATAAGGTCAATGTTTTTTTGTTTTGTACTAGAGATTGAACCCAGGGGTGCTTAACCACTGAACCACACCCCCAGTCCTTTTTGTTTTTGAGATAGGTCTGGCTAAATTGCTGAGGCTGGCTTTGAACTTGCAATCCTCCTGCCTCAGCCTTCTCAGCTGCTGGGATTACAGGCATGTGCCACTGCACCTGGCTCATTGTAGCCCGTTTTTCATAAAGCTAAATTTACTCAACTTAGATCATATTGTTACTAATCGGGGGCCCTAAAATGTCCTTTATTTTGCAAAATAATGTTGTCAATAGATGGTAACTGAAAATCCTATGTAGATCCTCACCCCCTCCTTCATAAAAATATATATATATATATATATATATATATATATATATATATATATATATATATATATATATATATAAACAGGCCTAGAAATCCTCATGCCTGGGAACCATTGAACTAGATTCTTCCCAGCTGCATTCTCTCAAGATGCACTCAGAGCTCCCTCCTTCATTCCAGAGACCCTGTCCCAGTCAATCTTCCTGGACTGTCTCCTGTAGCCAGGAAAGTCCCCCCCCCCCCCCCCCCCCCCCCCGCAGTCCTAGTTGCAGAAGGTCACACAGTTCACTGGCTGTCCCCCTCCCATCCTGCTTCCCCCTTGGGCTAAAATATCCACCACCTCCATGAGAATGAATCCTGACCAGTCCCCTGGGATTTGTTACAACCCATCCATCACCAAGAAGCAAAGAATGGGCAGGTTTTTGAGTCATACTAAATTTTGAAAAGAAGAACAGAACGTGTGTGCGCGCGCCCGCGCTGGCAGTGCTGGGGGTTGGACTCAGTGGAGCTTTGCCACCAACCTTTTTATTTTTATTTTGAGACAGGGTGTCACTAAGTTGCCCAGGCTGGCCTCAAATTTGTGATCCTCCTGCCTCAGCCTCTGGAGCCTTGGGATTACAAGCCTGCACCGCAGTGCTTGGCAAGGAGAATGATCTTAAAACAAAAAAATTTAAAAGGGGCTTTATTGAAGCATAATGAAGATACAATAAAACTCATATTTAAAGATATACTGGGTGTTTTTAAAGGATGTTAGTGACCTCAGGTCCCACTAGAGCACCCTTCCATCTAAGAGGGGTGGACTCCTAATAATTTGCAAGTGTGCTTCATATTATTTGGAACTTGGACTTGTCCTTTGACCTTGTCCCCTGGAAGCAGATATTTTTGTTTCCATCTCACTGTGCCTGCAGCAAGGTGTGCTGAGGGGTGCCGATGCACTGGAATGGAAAGCCTGCCAAGGCCTCTAGGTGAGGCTCCGGTGCTCTTTGGCCTCCTAAACCCAGACTCCACTGCGGCTTGGTCTGCCCACCAGAAGTAAAACTAAATCATTTTGAAACTTCTCCAGTAACTGGAACCCTGTCCTGCTAATGGCAGACTCTCAGGTTTCTCCTCGTGGGGCGCAAATGAAATGAAAGGTGCCTGGGCAAGCAGGAGGGGGACCAGCGCAGGAGGAGGCGCAGGTGGGGATTCAGATGCACCCAGAAGCGGCCCTTGTTCCCGGGGGAGTCCAGGTGCCGCTTATCCAGAAATAAACAGCCGCGCAGCCAGGCCGGGAGGGAGGGGAGCCCGGCGCCAGCAGAGCAGAGACCAGAACCAACAGTCGACCTGCCTGAGGATCCCGGCAAGGGTGGAAGCCAGGAGACCTGGGTTCCGGCCTCAAAAGTGTAGTCTGAAAATGGGTGACGTTTCGGAGAGTTGCCTGCACACAAGAAACTCTTTTTCTCAGACTCGGGTGGTTCAGCCAAATTTAGACAATAAAAAGTGTTTTAAATCGGGCACAGAGGGAATCAACCCAGAGTGCAGGAACGGTCGTCCGTGACTTTCAGACCCCGGCAGAGGCCGCGGGGTCGAGGCAGCGCGAGGTTAGCTCTGGATGGAGGCTGTGGGGACAAAGGGACGAGGCGGAGCCCCCGCCGTGAGCCACCCCGCGGGGTAGACGCCGAGGACGGGTTGAAGGCTGCGGGCGGCCGGAGAGCCCGGTGCGGGGCGCCCTCCCGCTCCCTGCTCGCCCCCTGCTCCCCTGGGTCAGCCGGCAGCCCTACCTGGCTCGGGACTGGGACCCCGGGAACCGCTCCACCGGCGAGGAGTACAGGACGAGGAGGATCCCCGCGCAGGCGGCTGCGAGCAGGAGCAGCAGCCAGAAGGGCTGGCCGCGCGGGGACCTCATGCAGCCCCGCCTGGTGGGCGCCGAGTCCTCGGCCCTCCGCGCTCCGGCCTGCCGCTGTCCCGTGCCCAGCGGAGAGGCCGGGGTGGGCCGGGCCGGACTCGCGGAGGCGACCGCTCCGCCTCTCCCCGCCCTGCCCACCCGGTGCGGCCGCCGCGCCTCCCCGCCCCGAAGCTCCCCTGTTCCTGGCCAGGCCGCCGGAGGAGGTCGCCGCACTCTTGGGGACTGGGCTATGGTGCTGGTCCCGGGAGGCTGGAATGTCGCCACGGGCGCTGAGTCGCGCGCTCCCCTCCAGGGCTGCCCTCTGCCTCCGGGACATGGACAGCTGACACCCCCCTCACCGTGGACCCACCTAGCGGGGTCACACAGGGCTCTTCCCCCTCCTGGGCAAGAGCTGGAGAGCCTTGTGCCGTGGGCAGTTGGGGTGAAGGGACACGTCGCCCCCTGTGGTTTGGCTGCGCACTGCGCGCTGGGAGACCCTGGCTCTGGCTCCAGGCTTCTTGATGCCAGAGGCTATTGGACGGCAGCCGGGAAGCACCTTCTGGCCTCCCTTTGGTAGGACCACCAGACACGTGGATTTGGATCCTGGCGCCTCATGTCCTTGTAGAACTACAGGGAGGATCCAGTTCACCAAAGGAGCTGGAGAGGGGAGGGGGGATTGGAGAAGAAACCCCCACAGCTAGACTGGGTTGGAGGTGGAGAGGGAGGTAGGGAGCCCGCTGAGCAGGGATACACGATGGTGGAGGTGGGTGGGGTTGGTGGAACCGTCATCCTCATATTTGGTGACTATCCAGATAAGTCAGGCCCCTGAGCGCACTGCGTTCCTTTTACAAAGGGAAACCAAACTGGAGAGCTTGGCGGCGTAGAGGTCCAGCTGGGCTCCAGCACCACCTGGAAGGGCACCTTGAGCTCCGGAAGCAGAGCCCTCCCTGTCGGTGGTCAGTAGGTCCGGTGGTGATTACGTACAGCCAGGCTTTTCTCTTATCCTAAGGCTGCTGAGCAGAGTGAGGGCTTCTCGCTACCCTGCTGATGGGCACTGCTTGGAATTCATGGATTCCAGTCTTTCATTTCGACTTCCATGGTCTTTATGTGTCCAAATCCCTGCGTATATTATTCATCTCTAAGTCACAGCATGCTCCCATTTCCTCTGTGCTTAATAAGAACTCAGACCTCTCTTTCTCCTCCCTCTCATTAAGAGGCTTATCTCCTACTTCATAGAGAAAAGAGGAATCACTGTTTCTTCAGCTTTCCATCTTCAAACCCACAAACTCCACCTAGACTTTTCCTGCATTAAGGAAGGTGGTGCTTTCCTCCATGTGCGGTTGATCCCCCATCTGTGTTAATGACTGGGGGTCTACCTTCAACCCCCAACAGCAGTACCCCCTCAGACCAAAGCTTCCTGCCCATGCACCTCAAGTTCTCACTTCTGTTGTCTTTGGCTTCCCAAGCCTTCTACCGTCTCCGTCAGTTCCTTTGGGAAGAGATTAGGGCCTTTCTGTTTTGTAGATTGCTTCTTTCCCCAGGCAAAATTTCTGAGCTAGGATTTGTGCTTTTCTCTGAGCAACAGTCTTGTTTTAGGATTGGGATGCTAGATGGAAAGGAAACAGGAGTTCTCAGCTGTCCTCTCTTGGGATGGAACCTTATAATGGTATCCTCTGTGATCTCATGCCCCAGAGTCTCCATTCAGTGAGTAGGGGCTGGGCGGAAGAAGAGAGTCCTTACCTCTTGGCCAGTTCTAAGTCCTTGCCCTTGACTTAGCCTCAGCAACAGGTAACTGGGAGCAGTATGAGAAATGCTGAAGTCCTGCCTCTCCCAGGAAGAAAGTCCTCTGACTGGGACCTGGGGAGAGGGGAGAGGAGGCCTCTTGTCTTTGGTTGTACCAATCTGGAGCAGAGTTTTCATCGCACAGAGCTGGGAGCAAGGAGAGAGAGGGCGGTTCAAGGTTGGTGTTTGGTTCACATACCACAGACTCTTATCATAGTTTAATAGATTTTCTTGCACAGATACTTCTTTGTTTGCTGAGTACCCTAGGGTCATTTTCTGATACTTTAAATGGCTGTCTGTTCATTGGTTTCACTGGGGAGTGGGTCTGTGAGTTCCTTGGGCTGAAAGTCAATCTCTTACAATGGTTTTCAATTTAATGTTGGTTTCACTGATGATTTATCATCTTAAAATCCTATTTTAAGGGAACTTTGCATATAAATTGGGTATCTGGTGAATGTGTTAGTTACCTTTCTATTCCTATAACAAAACACCTGAGTTGACCAATTTACAAAGAGTGGAAAGTTTATTTTGGTCCACAGTCTTGGAGGTTTCAGTCCATGGTCATGACTTCAGTCATGACCCCAGTGCTTTAGGTTTTGTGACCTGGCAGCCCACCATGGCAGAAGCATGTGGTGGAGCAAAGCGGCTCACCTCATGGCCAGGGCTCAAAGCAGAGAAAGAGGAAGGGGCTGGGGGTCCGATTTCCTCTTCTAAGCCACACCTCCCAATGACTGGAAGACCTCCCACTAGACTCTGTCTCTTGAAGGTCCCACCGCCTTCCCATGGAGCCATGGGTGAGGAATAAGCTTTCAAACATGGGCCTTTGGGGGGACTGTGTCAGTCAGGTTTCTATCACTGTGACCAAAATACACAACAAGAACCACTTAGAGGAGGAACAGTTTATTTTGGCTTACAGTTTCAGAGGTTCAGTCCATGGTCAGCTGACTCCACTACTCCGGGCCTAGGTGAGGCAGAACATGGGGAAGGAGGAGTTGGCAGAGGGAAACTGCTTCTCTCCCTGCAGCAGGAAGCAGAGCGGGGAAGGGGCTGCAGAGAAGATGCACCCTCCCAGGGCAGCCCCCAGTGACTCCCTCCTCCAGCCCCGCCCCACTGCCTGCAGTTACCACCCAGTTAGCACATTCAAACTAGGATGGGCTGATCAGGTCCCAATCATCTCGACTCTGAATATTCCTGTGTTAATTTGGAGGACACCTCAGATCCAAACCATAGGAGTGAATCTAAGGAGTTAACTTTTTTTTTGAAGGTGTGATAATAGCATTGTAATTATTCTTTAAAAGAGTTCTTATCTGTTAGAAATACACATGGATGCCTGACACAGGGTGCAAGCCTGTAATCCCTGCTAATCAGGAGGCTAAGGCAGGAGGATCCCAGGTTGGAGGCCAGCCTGAGCAGTTTTCACTTGTGATGGAGTATGGGTTATGGTTTTACAAAACCAAGAGATTAATCTGAAGACGCAGCTCGGGGTAGCGCACTTGCCTGGCATACTGGAGGACCTAGCTTCAATTCCCGGCACCCCCTGCCCCAGCTTCCATAAGAGCGAAAAACAAACAGAAAGCCCAGAAAGTTCAAAACTTCAAGTACTCTGTGTTCTGAAACAATCACGTGGAAGCAGCTCTGCACAAACACAGTTTCACTAAAATCAAATTACTTCTCAGTATCTGAAATGGCATGAATTTCAATCAAGTCCCCAATCAAAATTTATTACAAGTTCTCATTGTGCATCAGAAGCTTCTGTCGTTTCAATCAAAATCATTTTTAGACGATTAATGATTTTTATGAACAAAAAGTGATGATGAAAATTGCTTCTGTTGTATGTCAGGAATTTATAACAAGGCAAATTTATGCCCTGCATTGAAGTTGAGTGGAAACTGAGCTTCCAAAACAAAGTACAGTTGATGGCGCCTTTTGACTATGAGCCAGGATGTTCAGAATCAATCAGAAAGTGGATTAGCACTTGTGAGTCACACAATTACAGCCTAATGTCTTTCAGGATTTAAAAAGTTCCTTTTATATGTTTTTTTCTATAGACCTATTAATGGGAAGATTTCCCCCCTACACTTCTTAAAAATGGCGACTTAATTTCCATTTATTTTGCTGTAAATGGAAATTTACTTTGACAATAGATAATTGATTTGCCTGTTTGTATTTGCACAGAGAAATAGTCAAAATTTGCATAATTATAATTGGTCTTGATAACAATAGGAAACAAAAGTGTTAAAAGTATGAAACAAAACTATTCTTTCATCTCAATTGTGATGCTATAACATTGCCTATATCATAACTCATTCACTGTTTCCAAATAAATCAGTAATTTATACTTTTTTGACTTATTCTTTTTCTATCTATGAAGTTATATTAAAATTACTCACGGTGATTTTTTTCATTAGTTTGAAATCCAAGTTGAATACGTACGTCACCTTAATCTCTCCACCCAACTCCCAGAGCCTCGAGCCCACTTGGACGGCAGCTGTCTTCTAACTCACCTCCCTGATTTCCAGCTTGTCCTTCTAAAGTCACCTTTTACTCAGCTGGCCACCTGTGTGGTTCATGCAAAACGCAGAACTGACCGCCTCTCTCTTTGGCTTCTTGTTCAGTGTGCCAAACCACTGACGGCAGTTTCTCAGTCTTGAGTACAGATACATGGAGAAGCCCCATCCGAGAGTTTGAGACACTCGGTGAGTTAGCAGTGAAGAGCTTTCCTGTGTGGAAGACTGCTAGCAACCCCAACTACAAATGAAACTGTTACGGTGCTGGGGACAATGCCAAGACCCTCCTTCAAACCCTGATCCCTGCCATCAAGTCAGGAATACCTCAGATGTGTTGCTCAGAGTAATAGGCATGAGTTCATTAAAAGAGATGGGAAAGGGGAAAAGGGGACACTCTCAAAGGACAGAGTTGGTCCTCTCAGAGAAGAGAAAGAGAACATGCTCTCCTGTCCTCCAGTTTTATTTGGGTTCTAGGGAAGTTTCCAGGGAGTCCAGCCCAGGCCTACCTCTCAACTTTTGACTGACAGCAGGATGACATCAGACTTTCAAGTCCCCATTGTGCATGACAACTCTAGGTCACTTTGACCCACGCTGACTGGTTCTAATTGGAACCTGTTCTTACAGATTATCCCCATCTCCCTGAGTTCTGGTATCTGATCTGTGTAAGGTAGGTCACAAAAGACCCCCCCCCCTCTTCTTATTATTGGCATTTGGGGGCCTACATTTCTCATGCAGATAACAGGTAGTAACATAGTCTGTCGACTGAAGCTAGGCAGGGCTGCAAGTTAACTGCTTTTTAAAAGAGGAAGCATGTG